TGGAGAGTTCACACCTACTGAAACTTCTCCTCCAGGCACAGATGCAGTAGAAGCAGATTTGAGCCACACAACCTGGCTGTGAGACATTTCCCCCTCTCACTGCCCCAAATATCTAACCGAGTAAGTCGGGATCCCCACTAAACTACTAGAAATAGTGGGTTCTGCATTGCTGGAGACCCAACAGTGCAACCCCTCCCTTAGGAGCTCCTCCCAGTTCCATGAGATGCAGAACCACCACGATGTCTCTGCCAACTTCTCAGGCCAACCTGCACCAACAGAGAGGACCACACCAGTACCTGAACTGTTCGGAACGGCTCCTTCTGGCCTTGTTGCAACCCCAGCACTAACACGCTCCTTGCCACCATGGCACCATCTCATGAGAAGCGCTGGATGCGAGCTTTGAAATCCACCTCAGCAATGGCAATGCTCTCTCCAGTGCTGGTTTTGCCTACCCTGTGCTGCCTCGGTCCTTTTGGCACGTTACTGCATCCAGTAACACCCAAAGATGCTGCCAGTTGTTATTTTAAGTGCAAACTTGTTTTGCAGATGCTGTGCCCATGAGCTGATCCGTTTCCAGAACCTGCTCATGCTTTCATCTTGGATTCTTCATTTCACTCCTGACACCAAGCTGCCTTTGGGTTTGGGGCTTTTTAACGTGGGTAATGAGCAGGTTTAAGAGACTTGTGTCTTCTCTGACTCCTGTAATCCACCTTCAGTGTTCACCAAAGAAGTTATCTGACACAGCTCCACTTCTTTACCAGAACACAACCACAGAGAAGAGCCAACTTCCAAGAGAGCAGATCCTTGCTTGCTGCTCCCAAGCCCACCCCTCCATGTGGTTCCCCCATTTCCCATCAGGGGTCATCACAATTGCTTCAGCTGCCTCTAAATCATGCTGCCTCTAATGGGGATTGTCATACGGTCTCTGACCATCCACAGAACAAAGATGTCCCCCAGGATGACCAGTACAACCCTCCGGAGACGTACAGGGAATTAAAGAACACTGGACTAAAGCAAAGTAGAGGTCTAGCAGCCCATGAAGGCTTTTTCTGCAAGGGGAAACAGCAATATACTCAAGCAGAGTATCACCACAGCTACAAAAGCCCTACTCCCCTGAGTACCATTTACAACAGCCACCCTCACTTCAGGCCAAGTGTGCAAAGGCAGAAGTTACACCACCTTAACCAGAACATTTCTTCTGCTATAAAGAGCATCCTTTTGTAGACCAACCCTTAAAGAGGGGATTACTCAACACACCGTGGGGGGGGGGAAACCTGCCTATCCCAAACCAAAACTCCCATTGTTCATCCATTTGCCTACTTCACAGCACATGAACCAAATGCTATAAATGGGATCCAAAGTTTAGGGGTGGGGAAAATACTTCCCAAGAACTCCTGTAGCTGCTCCTCTGACTCTTTGGGAGATCAAACTCTGCTTTCTGCACTGTTCTTCCAGCACATGCAAACAATGCAGGCTCTGAGCCCAGTGCAGAAGAGGTGGTGCAGCTCAGAGGAACAGAGAACAAGTCCTTACTGTGTGTGGGAAGGTTTAAGGGAGTATTTCAGCACATCAGGAGCTGAATCACTGCGTGTAGGTGGAGCCAGACGGATTGACAAGATCTGTAACTTGAAAAATGACCTAAGTCTGAGATCAATCATCTCACAAAGGAGCTGACTGGGGGAACAACATACGGGGAGAGCTCAAGGTGACGAGGCTCAATGTCAACATGACATGCAGGAACTGCATGAGAGGCACAGCGTAGAGCTGACCAACTGCTATCCTGAAGGCATCAACCACCCCAGCAGCCTTCCTTCTGTTACCTCTCGGTGTCACCAACACGTTACCCAAATGGATTTGCCTACTTCAGCAGCCCGTAACAAAGGCATTTTAGGGGAAGCCATTAGCAAAGGTCTCGTTTTCATGCATTACATTAATGAATGCTCAGGCTTTCAGGTAATGTCTTCTGAGAAGTTGTGAGAGCAGCGACTGGATGGAAAACCAAGAATTGATTTCAGATCAGACAAAAGCATGAGACATAAGAGACGATACACCAAGCTTTACAGCCCTTCGGATCACTAACCCCCATTAAACGGGCTCGATAGTCCAGTTCTATCTCCTGGATTAGCCTCCAATTACAAACAAAAGCCAGTAATAACCTTTCAGTATTCATCTCCTTCCAAAAACCCAAACCTAGGGGTCTACTTTGCAGAAGACCTGCAATTTGTATATGCAAATAAAACCAGATTCCTACAGCTAAGAAGTTCCAGAGTCTTGCCACTGGAGACACAGCAGTGCAGAGGTTGTTCACTGCCCTGCTATTCCAATTCTGCAAGGTCTCGGGATGGCTCCACAAAGGGAGCTATTTCCATTTGTGACTCTGCAAGGTCAGAGAAACCCACTTGACACTGAAGAGGTTTCTTTAATGAATTAAAGAACCATCATTTTACCCTTCTTGGCAATGGTCATTATTAATTAGCAGCAGGAATATTGCCTTGGTAGTAGTATTTATTACCAGCAGTGAGTGATATCAGTACTCATCAATACTCACTAACCCCGACAACTTCAAGTGCAATCTGCTGGGTCATTCTGAAGCTAAAAATGGGGCTGTTTTCCTCCCTGTTCTCATAAATGCTCCATCTGTAACTTCACCTCCCAAACGCTGTTCTGTGCTGGCTTTTCCACACACTCCAACCAGTCATGGGATCAAGCTGAAGGGCAATGGCTTTCCCTCATGAGTTCAAGGGAACAAAGTTGATCCCTGCTAATCTGAGAACAAATCCAAGTTTTAGCTCCCTACATCCCATGCAGGACAGCATTTTCAGTGCTGCAGAATGAGCACACCAGCCTCCCAGGGCTATCTGCACACTTATTTAAAGCAGGGAGCTAAAATATGCAATGCTGGGAACCACGACCAGCCAACAAAGGAAAAGCCTGTTATGAAGCAGCTCCAGTGTCTGCAGTAATTCCTGTTCAGAGTGACAACAGCCAAGAAAATGCATTTTATTAGACAGGGGGTAAGTGGTATTATCCAAATATTTGCATGGGCATCTGGGCTCTTGGGAGGTTCTTAGAACATAATCCCAAATAAATAGGATTGTCTGCCTGGAGAATTAATCCTGAAAAACTTACTTTTTCTTTATAAAAAAGTTATAAAGTTTTTTATAAAAAACTTTATAAAGAAAAACTTACTTTTTCTTTATAAAGCTCCCCCTTTATAAAGGTGTTATCCCACCTTCTGTTTGTGGAGCTGTTGGAGTGAGGGCAGAGGAGGCCATGGAGATGCTGCAAGGGCTTGCAGCCATAACACCAAAGCCTCCATACATGGGGTTGTACATCCTACATTCCCAGAGTCCAGCTATGTCACTCGAGACTCTTTTCCCTTCCCTTCCTGGGCTCAGTTTACAAGCAAGAAAACTCCTCCCTTTTCTTGCTCAACAGCTAGCTCAGCAAGCCCAATCTCAGACGTGCATCAGGCTAACCTCTCCTGGGCAGAAGCACCTACAAAAGCTCTGCAGCCCAAAGCCTATGCACTAATAACCATGCAAATTAACTGGTTTTATTGATTCCAACTAGAATTCAGTAAAAATAACACTGGTGACACAAACAGGGAGGCAATTGCATTCCCTTAACCCTTTTATCTCTCCAAACTAAAAAGTAATGGAGCCATCTTAATGGGTTAGCTCCAACATGCTGCACCTGATAAAAGTCAGAAGATCTCAATAACAAGGAGTCTTTTCTTTACAAAGTTTCCTTATATATTATGGGCAAAGAGGATGAATCTGTACCAACAGAAACATCCCAAGTTTAGTAGAAATAATGAAAATGGCTTACCAGTGCAAACTGTGCAGGACAAACCTAAGGCTATTCCATGTTGCAGCTTCATATTACAGCCATTTATGATATTTGAGGGCAACAGGGAGGTGCCATTACCACTGATGGAAAGAATAAGCAGCTTCAAAAGCATTCCCTCACTAGTACTTCTCCAAGCAGATGAACTTGACCTTAGACAGAATGATGCACAACAGCACTGTTAATACCTATATGAATAAAAGGTAAGTTTTGCCATAACTCCTTTCAATTACTTAAGTAAGGTCTTTACTAATTATCTCCTTAACAAGACACACCTCAAGTAACAATTGCTTTCTCCATCCTGGGGACACATTCAGTGATGGCAGACCACTATGTGCCCATCAGTCACGTCCATGGCAGTGGGCTGTGATAAGACAAACTAACCAGTTGTTACTGCAGCAACAACAGAAAGACATCGGGAAGAAGACATCAGGCCCATTTAAAAGGAGTATTTTATTTACTTACCTGTCTCGATAAGCAGGGAAAGTTATTTAAGTCTCTTTGGATGTGATACGAGTCCTGAGCCCCTTTTTGGTACTTTGAACAATCAACTCCTCCATATGAATGAGAACATTAATAAGCCTTTTAAAGGACTGAAGGAAAGAAAGAGAGCTGGACAGGGGAAGCAGAGTGGGGAAAACAAGAGCTGGCACACAAGTTGGCACCAATTTAAACTCCATGTTCAATGCAGCAGAGTATCAGTATTGACATCTCAATCATCTAAGTTGTGAACATATGTTCACAATACATTCAGGTTCAAATGAAAGCAAATAAAGACATTACTAGATACTAAACAAGTTTTAAAAAGGAAACAGTGTCAGAACAAGATTGCCAGAGGCAGAAGAACACCTCTAGCCTGGGTTAGAAACTGCTAAGAGGTGAGACTCGACCGTCTCAGCCACTTGCCTATTAGACAGGACATCCTGGCAGCCTTTTAATGGGTGAGGACACAGGAGGACTCTGCAGCAAGAACCAGCTAGCTTCCCACAAGTTTCACTTTGTATTCTCCTCTGCCAGGTCCCCAGATCTCGAGATCCAAACCTCAGAACAGAGCTCACAAGAACAATGCAAGAGCATCTCTGCTGAAACGACTGAGAGGGGCAGAGCACAAACCCTGCGGGACGGGGCTTGATGCAGACTAGAAGCAGCTCTACTTTGTGAGAAACATTTAATTCAACACAATGAGTTACAAGAGGAGAGAGATTTACAGGATAATAACCGTAACAGACCGTTCAAAAAGGAAAACAGTTCCCACTGCCTGCAGTACCAGGTAAAGTTCCCCGAGGCAATAATACCTGGCAGAGCAGGAATGAAGCACAATTCAGTCTTCTTGCAGTACTCCAAATGAGCAGTATCAAAGAAGTTTGTATTTTCAAACCTTTATGAAAAGAGTTAGTACAATAGCAATCACTTTGGCATGGGCTATTTTTCAAGGAGCTTAAACCTATTCCAATCACTAAGCTGAGCTACTCCCAGAGGTTATTACTTTCCAGGCAATTCCCCTGGTCCCCTGCTATCGCTGCTAACCATTCTTACATGATAAAGGCTCTGGGAGCTACTTTCTTCCCCAAGTTTGGGGATACCAACAACTTGTACAATTGTTCAGTGGCACAACATTGAACCCACCACTTTATACCATACTGTCAGCTGAAATGTCCACGCATGAATCATGCAATGGATACCCCAAGACTAAAATAACTTTTGTAACCAGTCAACCCATTCTCTGAGCTATAAACTCTCATCTTTGTCCCTTCTCCCTATCCTCCCTCCCCAGATAAACCCATTTTTAGCCACAAGTTACCCCAATATGCTCACAGATGTACTAAAAGAAACTGAGGAATCAATCAAGGTACCCATGGTGAAGCCAAATACTTATAAACACATTAAGGCAGGTTTCACATCATTTCGGTTTTGGACACAAAATGCTGGTCACTTCACTGCACATGCAAATAAGAAAGATTTAATACTTAATAAAAAGCTTTAAATTCGTTTTCAGGTTATCAATTATAGAAAAATCAACCTTTTTCCTTTCTTGTTTTAAAAGAGGTCAGAACATTACTGCACACGAAAGCAGATGTGTAGACACACCTATTGAAATGGATCCCCTTCCCCCTGCACACACAGGAACGGAGGTCGGGGCTCTTGGCACCAGAAAAGAAAGGAGGAAGTTTTCCTCACTGTCAGTCAGAAATGAGTCATTCTCCCATTCCAAGTTGAGAAGTTCCTTCTGACTGGACTTAAACCAAAGCAAAATACACCTCAGAGCGGGTATATTCACCTCCCAAACTCTATGCAGCTATGCCTGGACATACACACAACTCCGTATCAAAAACGGGCACAGGAGTGCATTGAGTGTGATGCTGGAGCCAACTACAAAAACAACTGCCATTGATGTAAGCCCAATTCCTCAAGTGTATCTTCCCCTACTAAACAAAACCTCGGCTGGAAGAGACACTGGCAGGTCATCTCCAAGACCAATATGGTCTTGCGAGGAAAAGGAAGTTCAATGGCCTGAATTGACACATGGAATGACAATCCACAACACAAAATGACCTCCCTAAAGTTAGTTACAAACAGGTAGCCTACAGCAGAGTAGCCAAGGAGTGAAACAGCATCTCCTCTCACTTGTGTTAGAGAGCAAATGGTTTCTACGGGTCTTTGTTAAAGGTACTTGGATAGAAAAGCTTAAAAATTTATCACCTATCACTGACTGACCCACCAAAAAACTTTAAAGTAGTAATAAAAAAAAAAAAGACATAAAATTTGGTTCCTAGAATTTTACCTCCCACTGTTTTAGATTCCGTTATTCCCTCCCACTTTCGCATTCCTGATTACCCTACCCCTTTAGAAAAAGGAGGGGGAGTAGAGTTTAGTCAAGTTCCATCTTCAAAACTACCCAGCAATCACTGAGCCATCAGCTTCTCAACGTCTCCTGATGTGGACATCAAAATGCTCCTTGGTACAGTTGGGTTGGTGGTGCAATGTACTCGGCAGACACTCTTGGCTTTGTGAATAGTTGTGCTGACCCTGCTGATAGGGTTTATACTGGGAATTCTTGCATGGAACTCCCTAGGAGAAGAAAAACAACAAGATCTTGTGAGTCAATGAGAACTTTGTATATCTTTATAGCAAGTGAGCCCTTAAAAGCATAAAGGAGCATTGCCATAACATATCCATTTCTTTATCTGCTGTTTTCACCTTCAGCAGACAGTTTGTTCTGGTTCCTTGCTGTTGCCAGACCTTTGTAGTAGGAAGGAATGCAAGACACTCACTGTCCAAATAAGCTACTGTTAGGGTGACGGTGAAACAGGAGAACAGAGAGAGCCCAAATATAGGACAGTGTCTCCCAAAGGCAAAACAGATTTCACATTACAACCAACCTGGCAGCCTGAAGGACTGCTTACCAAAATCACTCCTTCTGCTACCTGAAATACAGCTGCCACTCCCTACAAAGGGGCTTTTCCTTTCTTCCTTTTCCTCTTCCACATTCTTGACTCTTCCCTTATGGGCTCTGGAGGGTACATGACAAAGCACACAGGGTATTAGCTATCCTATTTCAGTGACAGAACACTGTCTGGCTTTAGGCTAAAACTTAATATGATCAGGATTTAAAAATCAGTGAATTCTGTTTCCACCTCACTGCGTGAGCTCCACTGATGATACATACAGTGCTCCTGGGGTTACAAAGGAACACAGCAAGGAAAACCTGATTCATAGCACAGTGCACTGACACAGAATCCCAGACTGGTTTGGATTAGAAGGGACCTTAAAGCTCACCCAGTTCCAACCCCTGCCACAGGCAGGGACCCCTTCCACTAGAGCTGCTTGCTCCAAGCCCCTGTGTCCAACCTGGCCTTGAGCACTGCCAGGGATGGGGCAGCCACAGCTTCTCTGGGCACCCTGTGCCAGCGCCTCAGCACCCTCACAGGGAAGAGCTTCTGCCTAAGAGCTCAGCTCAATCCCCCCTCTATCAGCTGTCCTACCTAGTGCAACGCACAGGGGAACTTCTGTTGGTGTGTCTTGACTTGGCCTTGCACATCTGCTTCTTTCTGCATCGCTACACATGCGTCATTCAGAGCTATTCTGGTTTACAAGACAATAAACCAAAAATTCTAGTTGCACCTTTAAAAGGTTCCACTGCACAAATGAAAGCCAGAGCTATACCTGAAGGCAAGAAGCAAGCCCTTTGTGACACTTTCAAGGGATGCATAATATGAAAGCATGTTTCAGTGTAACAGCAGTAACTGCAGGATTCACAGTCTTACACTTCTCAGCTGTTTCCAAGTGTTGAAGGTGTATGGTCCTCTTTTACTTTCAGTTTACCAGTTCTCACCACATAGGAAGTTTTTTAGCCTCCTCCCTCTTTGGATGCTTGCCTTTGGTCAGGTTGCTTTTTCCTAACTTTCTACAAACACTCCTTAAAAAACTTCCACAAAGATGCTCTCTAATACTGCCCGAATGAAAACAAGTCCTAAAAATGCAAAAGTGAGAGAAAAAGGCAGGCAAGGGGAGAGATGGACTCTGTCCTTTCTGCCCACCCTGTCCTCCTGCCTAACAAAGGAAGTAATAAATAAATAGGGGGCAAACTGACATCACAAGGCAAATGTTTAGGAAGCCAATCCATTTTCAAGGCAGAATCCTTCCAGTGATTACATACACATCCTGGTTACACATTTAGCATACCTGATGTAGACAGAAGGCCCAGAAAACTCCATGTGCACTCACCAGACATTACACACACATCAAAATACTTCATTTTGCTACCTGAAAGCATGCCTACTCTACCTTTTAAAGTGCATGCTAAAGAGCAAAGATGTGTAAATTTGTACCAAATATACACCAAGATTCCTCCTGAAAGCATTTCTGCTTTCAGTGAAGTACTGTTTAAGGTAAGAAAGGATGCTGTCACATTACCTGGACTATACATTCTCCATCTCCTGGTCATGGTCCTGCTCCTCCTCCTCCTCTTCCTCTTCTCCTTCTTCCTCCCCTCCTTCTTTCTCTGAAGGAGCTTCCCCATCTCTTGCTATTTCTTCTACATGGGCAAGCATGTCAGCCATCAGGGCTTCCTCCAGCCTCTTTCGCACTTGCTGCACCAGTTCCTCTTGTTTCCTACCCCAAATTAATGAACACTGACATCAGTCCTCAAAGCTGTCTCTTTCCAGGGAAAGGAAGCTTAAATCCCTCATATATGAAGCTGGACAGACAAATCCATTTTTAATTCAGGCTGAAATCTGCATAACCTAACAGCTGACTCAAGACTTCCAATTCCTAGTAGTAATATTAATTGAAACAAGAAGAAGTCAGCCTACCCTGCTCAGATTGCCAAAAATGAGACTGGAGAAGGTTAGTTTCCAACCATTTCAATCTTTTCTTGTTCTTTTTCCTTGTGAGTCACTACCTTATATTTTACAGCTCCTTTTCTGTCAAAAGTCATAGTGAAGGGAAGAAGTGATCGACAATCAGTGGCTCACAGGACTTGTATTTCATCTCAGCCACAGGAAATCATGACCAGACCATTTTCCTGGTCATTCTTGTATAAATCAAGCACTACAATAAAGTCATCCTGTAACTCAAGATTTATCAGTCCAACAGTCAAAAGTCCTATCTTTAAACACTGTTAGTGTACACACAGTAGTATGCTCTCAGTCTCTTTGGTATAGGCAGTCCCCCACTGAGCTTAAAGCTTAATTTGACCATTCCTGATTTAGTGATAGAATTCATTACTGAAAGCAAGCTACACCTAAGTGAACTGCACCCTTATTTGCTGCCACTGCAGCAGTTAAGCACTCTTAGTTGGTCTTGTGCTGACACAGAGCAAGGTGAAGAGAATCCAATTGCAGTATTAAGGCTTTCTCTCTGACTCCTTCTTTGCTTAGAGGTGCCTTCATCAAGATTACTCCAATTGAGACACCTTCTTCAATAAAAGGATACATGTCCAAACAAATATGAATCTGAAACGTCAGAGGAACTAAGCAGGGTCAAAATAAAGGCCTATAATTACATGCCTGTAGGAGACCATCCTCATGTGACAGTTTTTAACTCCTCTAATAAAGAGGCATTCACATTCATTCAGCAAGCCATAGTGCTCCAGCACACTTTAAAACTTGTCATTGGAGAAAAACCTCACAAACCTCCCCCCCAAAAACCCCAAACCCCAAGCAAAGGCACTGTTTGACCACAAGAAACCTTATTCCAAGACAGTTAGGTGGTATCTCTAGTTAATACCTAATATCTTCGTCTGTCACCATAAATGCTTTGCAAAGGGGCTGTGAGGTGTTGAGCCAGACTCCAGGATTCTTCTCTACAGCTGCAGACAGCTGTCCAGTGATGGGCATAGTGCTGGTGTGCAGAGCACTAGCTATGGCAGAGAGCAGGGTTTCATCAGTGCATCCAGGTCCAACCCCTGGAAATGGGAGGGAAAGGGATAATCAACACTACACAAAGACAAAGAACAGCAAATCAGGACAACGGTGGTATTTAAATATTAATGGCAAAGCAGGTACTGTCATTTAGCAAGCTAACACAACGCACATCTCAGTCCTAAACACTTCTAACAGCACCTGTACAGCCCTCTCCAAGGCAGTTTAAACCAACAGCACTGCTGAGCGCTGGGGAACAAGGTCAACCTCAACACCTTCACATCACCGCTGACTGGTATCAAAATGCCACCCCTGGAGTGAAGGACAGACTGATTACCTTGTAAACCTTTTGGCAGGTCCATTGTTTTCACCAGCTCCTCTGCAATGTCAAAAGCATTCAGTCCACTTAATTTCTTCTCCCAGAAGAGCTGACATCAAAGAAAGCATTTATTGGCACAAAGCAGAAATGGAATTGACAACTACACCAAGCAACTGCTTCCTATCAAGAGAGGGAAGAACACTGCTGCAGACAATTCTGTATTGGATTTCCTATGGAAGGGGTCTGCCACAGGGAGCAAGCCTCACTGCCAGTCCCACAACAACTCTCTGTCCTGGTGTACTGCCTTGAGAGAGACTTTCTCTTCCTCCAGAAGCTGTCAATATCTAAATGCCACTGAGCCCACTGCACTTTCCCAATTACCAGCTCCCAGCAAGGGAAGGGACAGTCACAGCCAAACACAGAGGCTGGAGTTTCAAATAGGTGAAGTTTAAGCCAGCACTGCTTTCACGTTTGGAAGAACCATCTGGAGCCTGCTGACCAGGGGTTAAAATGCACTGCAGTCCAGCCAAGCAGTTTAAAGCTGTAATTTAACAGGTTCTTAGACGTATCATGCAGAGAAAGATGCAAGCAAGAAAGAGCAAGTCTGCTCTATTCTATGCTATAGAATAAATACATAAACCAATGTGTGTGTGTGTATTACACATACAGTATATACATATTTACTTTCTATAAACACATACACACACAAAAACCTCTACAGGACTTTCTCAGAGAATAGATTCCAATGCTGTCCTAAAAAAGAGAAAGGATTACACATGGAAAGCACAAGCAGAACTGAGGAAGCTGCATTACAACAAGTAGTAACACGAGCAGCAAAACTACACAGGTTAGATTATACCAGCTCTGTGCAATAGGGCTGATGTCTGCTGTCTAACAAATTGCATTCACATGTCAACCTGTACTCACAGATCAATCTCTTCCCTAACAGGGATACAAATCTCTTTTGCATATCAACATCGTATCTTGAGCATCCTTTTATTGGCTTCACAAGCCAAGGGGTTTATAGGAATAGCAGCAGCACTGAATACGCATGCTCTGCTTCCTTAGGAAGCCATGCTAAAATTCCCCCAACCTGTTCAAACAACAACCAACCCCAACCACCCAACTCTATTTCAACCAGCATCTATCTCACACTTCAGAAAGGTAAGGTTTAAGTCTGCAGAAAAGGTTTCCAACAGAAGATGACAGTAGCTTATGGGGCATTTTTACTACCCTGTACTGAAATCACTTCTTGGAATGTTACCTTTTAATTCCACTAGAGCTGCAAGAGTTTAAAATGATAATTGGTACCAATGACAGCATCTGAACACACCAGTGAAGCTGAACTCATTTCCAAACGTTATAGAGATGGACTCAATACAGCAAAGGATTTGTAGAATCCCTGATGTGAACTCTGCTGGGGCTGTCCTGTCAGCTCCAGGTAATGAGAACGGAATGAGAATGCCTGCCAAAGGCTGCTTTGAACGGGTACATCTCATTTGACCAGTGCCCAAATTCAAAGCCACCCTTGTCATAAGCACACTTTTTACATCCTTTCACTAGATTAAACGAAGCTGAAAGATTTCCTTTCATTTTGGTGTATTCACTTGCTTGCAAATACACAGGATGGCAAGAAAACCACTTTGATTTTGTATTAATAATGACACTGCAAGTGAATTTATGATCTTATTCATACAGTAGTTAGCTACTATACTAATGATATACACATCTGAGAAAAAGGCCCATGCAGGGGGTACAATCCCTTGCCCTACATCACAGACACCACATTGTCTGTGGTCTGTACAGGAAAAGGGATTTCTTGAAACAGTGATTCTCATTCCAGTGCAAGTGGCCTCTGAAATGGTTCCAAGCTCTGCCAAAATTCAGAGATAAGACTTCATTTCAGCATTCAAGGAAATGAAGGCTTAACTACAACAGAGCAAAGGTTGGGGTCTAGTTACAGAACACAGTGCAGACAGCGTATTAAATACATATTGGAAATGGGTTTTGTTCTGATTTTAAAAGCTGGGAGCACTGTATTATTGTTTCTGAAACATCAGAGACCTCAAATCATCACAGACTATGTGTTCAGCATCACCAAGTTAAAGTGGTTTATTCCAGGCCCCTTCCAGCACCAAAACCAGGAACGTTCTTAGTTCTGGAGAAGCAGCTGCTAAACCACAAGCCTTACCTGCCGGGGCTGGTCCACAGCTTTCTGAGGATCACTTTTCACCTTGTTGCTGGGATGGTTTGTGATCTTTGTGACCGGCTGTTTGAAGATGGAGGCGGTCTGTCTGACAGGCAGCGCTGTGTTCAAGTCAGGCTTGCCCTACAAATTTCAAGCAAAATGAAGGGAAAAGCCCACAAAAAGAAGGATTTTCAGTTTGCTAAAATGCTGCTACAGCCATAAAGATGTGCAGCAGGGAAAAGAAGAGTGCATGGACTTCAAAACTGGCCTGATCTCAAGCTATACGAGTTCAACTGCTAAAAACGTGTAACTACACTCAAATCTTGCCTTAGACCTATACAAATTAAAGTTCTCCACTCTTTCACATTCTATTTAACATACCCGCCTTGTCTCTAAAGTGGTGGTTACAAAGCAGATGTTGATTCCCCTTTTACAAGGGGTTCCATGGAAAAGACAAGGGGTGATGGGCACAAGTTACTCCTACAGAGATTCTGACTGGGCACAAGAGGAAAAAGCCTTTCACCATGAGAGCAGCCAGGCAGTGGAATAACCTCCCCAGGGAACTCGTGGACTCTCCAACACTGGGCACTGTTAAGATTTAGCTGGACAGGTCTACTCTAGGTCCTGCTTGGCCTTTGTTTGGTCTGGATGACCCTTGAGGTCCCTTCCAACCTAGGATCCTGTGATTAGTTTATACCCATTGGTTTTATACCCATTTGGACAGGATTTAGGAGCCAGAAGACCAAGCTTGCACTTTGACAAGCCACTAAACCAAAAGATTTTGACATCATATTAAGAAGAAAAACTAAGTGGGGTTTAGAAACCCTTTTGTGAATTCAGAAACCATTCTAAACCATTCTGCTTCAACCCAGCTGTGGATGCCACTGAACAAATCAATACAGCTGAAACCTTGATAGCTTTTTTTTACCTTCTTAACAAGACCCAGTTTCCAAACAGAGCCCATAACCATCAAATCTTCACCATCTGACTGCACTTTATATCAGTGAAAACATAGGAACACTGTTCCTTGCTCCAAGATCTAACATGCAAGCCTTGAAAATGGCTGCAGGACACACTCTGTTCTTGGGGATGCAGACACCGCGTCTGCTCAACATATTTATTCATGAGATGTAGAAGAGATGTATTCAGGCCAAATATAATTCTGAACCATCTGTGTGCTAATTCACTTAGAAGCCAATGACAACCACTTGTACATTGACTAGAAGGACTGGGCAGCATTTTTAGCCTATGAGATGTGTGTGAGCTGCTGGTCTCTGCAGCAAGGCATGCTGTTCCCCAAGTGGCACTCCAGCACCCAGCACTGTAAATGCTCCAATCACTCCAATGATGATGATGATTCTTGACTGGTTGACATATATAGAAAATAAGCATTCTGCTCTTCCCCACAGTTCATGTTTAGGTGCACAGACACAAGCTTTTGGGTTCTGAAAAGCTTTCAGTGTACAATGAAGCTACCCAAGAATAACTTGACCCAGTCTATCGAGACCAGCACTTATACTGGTAGTTTTGTCTAAACCTGCATCAGAATTACCACGTGCCAAACACAGACTCTCTTATTTTGCTCTACAAATAGGCCTTGCCATCCTCTTGCCTCTTTAGCTTTTTGGCACCCTCCTTAGATCAATTCCAAAGCCGAGACACCAGCATGGCCTATAACAGCTCTAGGGAGGGCCTCATCCTCTAAGGATGCCTCCTCCCCAAAAGCAAACAGCAGAGCAGAGCAGAGCTGCTGCACAGCCACAGGACTCAGCTGGAGGTCTGGGGCTCTGGAGAAGACTGTGCTGGATCTTCTCCAGAATAGATCCAGAGAGGGGATCTCACACTCCAGGGTGAAGAGAGAAAGATGCCAGCCCTCTCTCCAAGCCTTCTGTACAGGAGATTTAGCAGTACCACAATATTCTTGCATGGCATCACCCTGGTGTCCTGGGTTCAGCAGCAGCAGTCATTTTCTCCTTTTTAGTGCTGGTGCAGTGCTGTGCTTTCAACTTTAGCCTGAGACCAACGCTGATAACACACCAATGGTTTTAGCTGTTGCTATGTAATGCTTACTCCGACCAAGGACTTCTCAGTCTCATGCTCTGCCAGTGAGGAGGGGCAGAGACAGAACACCTAACCCAAGCTAAAGGGGTATTCCATCCCACAGCACGTCATGCTCAGGATAGAAACTGGGGGGAGCTACCCAGAAGGCCCAGATCACTGCTCGGGTGGTGAGCAATTGTATTGTGCATCACTTGTGTTTACTGCTTTCTTTTCCTTTTCCCCTTTTAGTTTTATATCCTCTCCCCTTATCATTATTAGTGGTGGTAGCAGAAGTGGTTTTGTGTTATACCTTAGCTACTGAACTGCTCCTATCTCAACCCATGGAATTTATATTCTTTCAATTCTCCTCCCCATCCCTCTGGGAGATGGGGGAGAAAGAAAGGGGGAAGTGAGCAAGTGGCTGCATGGTTTTGAGTTACCGGCTGGACTTTAAACCAGGACACCTGGAATGATGAGTGAATTGAGGTTACCTGTCCAGCTCCCCATAACAGAGATGTTCTCTCATACAACCCCAGTTCCACACATGGATTCCAAAATGGAATCACAGCTCTTGTCCCGAGAGGCAGCCTGGCCACTACGACAGCAGATGGAAAGGGGAAACCTGCCACGGCATCACAGTCTTACCTTGGCTTGGTTGGAACAGTCATAGCGCATCCTCTGCCTGTTCTTGTTCATTTTATTCATCAGCATTTTTCCTGTGCGGAAATCAAAGGTGCCCAGGTCCATGGAGCTGCCCAGGTAACGCGCCAGCTGCGGCTTGCTCCGGAACTTCTTACCACTTGGGCTGAGGAAACACAGGAGAGAAACACCAAGGGGAATGAGAACCCTCTGGATTTCATCCCACCACTCACTGCAGTGCAGAACAGGCAGGTTTCACCCCCTTCATGAGAACCAGCATGTGCTGAACTGCCAGAATGAAGCTCACGTTTAACTCTAAACGGATATTCTTGCTTTCCTATTAACTCCTCCTCGTGATTACTGTGGAAGAGACACATTAAGTGAGACCACGTTAAAATGCTTTTTGTGCATAAAGAAGATCCAGAGCAGGTATAAAGGAACACAGCGTAATTCACACCACAACCAGTAGGGCAGATACTGGCACAGAAGTACATACCACTGCTGTCTCAAATAATAAATGCATTTTCAAGCAGAATTTCTTCTCCCAAGAGTGTTATATATGACCAGGACCACAGTCATCTCCTTGGGCTCCTTCCCCCCCACCCCTTCCCCCTTGAATAGCACAATCAGGTTTGATTACAAGTCTTTGGTACCATTTGGAACACTTCAGGACTGCACAGCAGTAAGGAGAAAGAAAAGTTAATCAGTGACAAGCTGCAAAATAAAGAATGACAAAGCTTAAGTGATGCAAAGATAAAGGGCAAAACCTTGGCAAACTGTCCATTAACTGCAGAACAGAAGGGAGATTCTTTTCAAACACCTGGTTTCACATGAAGGACTGCAGTCTGGGAAGCAGGCACAGGTTACTCCAGCTCCTTGTTGGGTTCTGGTTGGTTTTTAGTAACATAACCTAACCTTTTGCACCACCACAGTAAGTGCTGCTAGCTAAACACTCTTCATGCATAAAGCAGAAGTAAGTCACTGTGCTGTGATTACACAGACAATAAGCACAGTGTAGCTCTCCCTAGGAAAGTAGTGGACTCCCCAAACACTGGACACTTAAGATTTGGCTGGAGTCAGAGAAAGCCCCAGGGAGATGTTACAACAACACCTAAAGGTGTTCCAGTGCCTGAAGGGGCTGCAGGGAACCTGAAGAGGGGCTTGGGACAAGGGCCTGTAGGGACAGGCCAAGGGGAATGGCTTGAACCTGCCCGAGGGGAGACTGAGCTGAGCTCTTAGGCAGAAGCTCTTCCCTGTGAGGGTGCTGAGGCACTGGCACAGGGTGCCCAGAGAAGCTGTGGCTGCCCCATCCCTGGCAGTGCTCAAGGCCAGGTTGGACACAGGGGCTTGGAGCAAGCTGCTCCAGTGGAAGGGGTCCCTGCCCGTGGCAGGGGTTGGAGCTGGAGGAGCTTTAAGGTCCCTTCCAACCTAAACCAGGCTGGGATTCTGTGGAATGCACAGTTAACCACATGGGGAAATAATCCATCTTTAGAGGGTAGGGAGAAGGGAAGGAAACTTATCACTGGACATTCCTCAGCTAGACCAGTTCACTATGAAGCTGCACGAACACTCAGGCCAGCAGACAACACAGAGAGGTGCAATCACTGGACAGTAACAGAGCCTGGGTCCAGTCTCAAATGTGAAACCACTTGTACAAATGTGAATGGAGTTATATGCCTCAAGCAGAAAGAGGAATAACCAGCTACAGCAGCTTTTAGGCCAGACCCATCACTGCTGTCAGTGAAGCCAAGAAGAGAAACTCCTGCTACATGTAGAAGATGACACTGCTTCCTCTGCTAAGATCTGCAGCTCCAGTTTATGGTTTAGTGTCTAGTAATTGTTAAACCAATACATTACAATAAATGGTGCGTTCAAAAGCTCAGTGTAACTTCCAGAACAATACACTCAGAGACAGGATTTGAAATGAACACAGCCCTTCAGCTTTTATGTTTAGTGTGTGCTCTAGGAATTTGGCAAAGGATCTGAAAAGATGCTCAAAATGTCTAAAATAAACCCACCTGAAGTGACTCAGAGTCCTGTCTCTTCCTGGGGAAGCTTGGCCCAAAGGAAAAGCACTGAAAAGTTCAGAAGAAAAACTTTTAGTGTGATTATGTCTTGAATAAAAGGCAATCCCATCTGGAATCCTCTGGAACAGCAGCAGGGCAGGGAACAAAGCTACGACTCAAAGCCATCAGTGAGCACCAAGAGAAGGGAAGTGGCTGGAGCGCTCTGGAGCTCCTGGGGTACCTCTGGCAGGAGCATGCTTGGGAGGACACAGCCATAGAGGGCATCACAGACACCTGAGATGGTCAAACTCGGGATGGGGAAAGGAGTGGGGAGCAGCCAAACAGCCCACATAGGTGAGCAGCAGCACTGCCTACTGCATGTCATGACACATAGGACCAGCAAACCAGCATTTATGAACTCTGAACGCCGTTCCCATGCTTGTGTGCCCTTTAAATGTCACAAATCCACCGGACTGATCTCCTTCCACTCCAGAGCAAAAGCTCTGGTTTCATACACAAAGACTCTGAAGAGAGAGGTCCAAAGCTGTGAACCCCAACCTCTTCTAACCAGCACCACTGGCACCGATACCATGAGCACGCTGCGCTTGGCTCCTGTGTTCAGGTCTGTCCCACTTCACCCTGATAGGAGGAGCAAGGCAACTGCAAACTGCACTCACTTTTCCATGCTCCTCCATCTAAAGCTCTGAGACATCACCCCCTTGAGCTGCCCGCCTCAGCACCAACAAAAGGGACCCAAAGAAGCCCAAGGGGAGGCACGACCAAACCCAAGCCCCCCTCACTTGTTATCCAGACTTTATAGGGGCTCAGATGAAGCTGAATGCGTGGTGGCCTCTTGCCAGGTGCCTGCTGCTCTCCATATGCAGCTCACCCTTTGTTTCCTGCTTTAGAGTCTTAAGGAGCCCAGGCCCTCTCCCCTCCTCCCTCATTACACAGTCTCCTCCCCTCCACTCTCCCCATTTCGCCTATAGAGGACCTGCATAACTTCGAAAGCAAGAGACAAAAGACAACAGAAACCCACCCTGAACAAACCCAGACACCGCCTGCCTGCTAAAGAAATGGAGACAGGGATAAAAAGGGTGATCAGGAACACGTGCCCAAAGCCTCACTCCCTCGGCGGATGGGTGACAAACAATGCAAACTGTTCCTTCCCCACTCTGTTTCAGTTGTGATCCCTCCTTCGTGCTGCTGCAAGAGTCCCAGCCTCCCTCCACTGCACTTCTGAGGTCTGCTCCAGGCAAAGCCAGGCACCCTATGGGTGTGGAACACCCCAACACTGTTTCCTTGGGAGAGATGTGATCCCTGGGACACCACATGCACTGCCAGTGTCCTTCCCTTGCAGCATCTTCCCGTTATCCCTGGCTGCATCTGCATCACGTCCTACCCCAAACCCCAGCAACTTACTGCAAGATCTTTGTGGTCCTTCCAACCCAAACCATTCTGTGAACGTGGTTATCCCAGGGCAGGCTAGCACACACATACAGCTGCCACCCATGCACAGAAAACGCACCGGTGTGAACAAGCAGAACCAGGTGACTTCTCCCAGCTGTGACAAGCCAGCCCACATCTGCACACATCTGCACAGCAGCATCTCCCCACCCCTCCATAAATCACAGAATCAGCAAGGTTGGAAAAGAGCTTTAAGCCCATCCAGTCCAACCCTTACCCCATCAGTGCCAGGGCCACCCCTAACCCATGGCACTGAGGCCTCGTCTCCACACTGTGTGAACCCTTGCAGGGCCGGTGCCTGCAGCCCTGCCCTGGGCAGCCTGTTCCAATGCCTGAGCACCCTCTGGGGCAGGAATTGTTCCTCAGCTCCATCTAAACCTCCCAAACGTGTGCCCATGGCTCCACACAAGCAGCCTTGGGGAACTGAGCTGTCCATTGCCACCACCCTCATCCCAAGCGATGCTCATGCGCTCATGGAGGCTCCACGCTTAAGGGGTTGCTTTGTTGAGGGGTTGGAGCTCTGACCACACACACACACACAGAACAAACCCCAAAGTCCTCAAAAGAACAAAACAGAAAGAATTTGGACACACATAAAATCCCTCAAACTTCCAGAGCCCTAAAGAAGCACCCAAGCAGCAATCCCAGAAGAGGAACGAGCCCAGATCTCACCAGCCCTGTTTGTAAGGCTCATCTCAACCACCATTAGAGCTCCCCTGGGGAAGCTGGGGTTCAATCACCACAACCTACAAAAAGCAATGGATGGCCCAGTAAAAGCACTTTCCTCTGCAGTTAAAAACATCCTTGGGGGTTAAAAACCTCTTCAGCTTTCTCCAGGTCACAACAAAACCAGCTTCACCCAAGAGAGCCTTCCAGAACAGCCGTGTCAATGACTCCTGGGAGCAGAGATCCCAAACTTCTCAGACACTTGGTCATGGAACCTCCAGCAGAAAAACACCAGGAAAGCAAGCAAGAGAAAGCAGCAGTGAACTGTCCTTCCCCCAGGTGAGAACACTGAGTTTGAAGGAGCCTTTGTCACCAAAACGCTCTCAAAGACCACCTACAGCCTAGTGGGTTTGCCCACCCTTCAACCACTGGCAGACAAGGGCATGCAACCCAGTTAAAAGCATTTCTGCACTGGTGAGCACTGATTCTACGAGCCCAAACATCTGCCAAAACGATGGTTTGGGAAAGGAGGAACTGCCACCTGAGCACCTCAGCTCAGCCTTAACCCTCAGAGCTGGTGACTGCACACAGGAGCACTTCCAAACCACGCGTGTACTTCCCCAACACACACTTACTGCATCCGCACATCCAAACCACGCACAGACTGTACATGGAAGCTGCACAGGGGTTCAGGAACTGCCACACGCCTGCTTCCCACTTTGAAAAATGCAAAATGCAACAGCAACCAAAAATGAACTCGGCAGGGATCTCTGTCCAAACTGATATACAGGCAAAATCCATAACTTGGGAATGAAAAAGTGCTCCTTTCCTTATACCCTCCCCTCTCTTTTTTACATTCAGCTCTGAACCCACAACCTTACAACTTTATGGATGTGGAGCGAGTCCAGAGGAGGCCATGGAGATGCTGCGAGGGCTGGAGCAGCTCTGCTCTGGAGCCAGGCTGAGAGAGCTGGGCTGGGGCAGCCTGGAGAAGAGAAGGCTCCTGAAGGGGAGACCTTAGAGCAGCTCCAGTGCCTAAAGGGGCTGCAGGAAAGCTGGAGAGGGGCTTGGGACAAGGGATGTAGGGACAGGGCAAGGGGAATGGCTTGAACCTGCCCGAGGGGAGACTGAGCTGAGCTCTTAGGCAGAAGCTCTTCCCTGTGAGGGTGCTGAGGCGCTGGCACAGGGTGCCCAGAGAAGCTGTGGCTGCCCCATCCCTGGCAGTGCTCAAGGCCAGGTTGGACACAGGGGCTTGGAGCTGCTCCAGTGGAAGGGGTCCCTGCCCGTGGCAGGGGTTGGAGCTGGAGGAGCTTTAAGGTCCCTTCACCCCAACCCATTCCATTCTATTCCACATTCTTGAATAACCAAGGGATCTTTCCAGCGCTGTTGTGTCTCCAGCAGCCGATCAAGGTCTTTCCTCCTCCCAGGCTGCAGCGGTGAAGCTGCACCTCCAGCCTCCTGCTCTCGAGGCTGCCATTCAGTGCTTCGCTCACCCCCGGCACAGGAAGCTATTCCCAGAGCCACGATCCAAGGAATGAATCCCCACACGTGCAGTTGACCGCACACATTCCACCAACCAGAAAGGCCATGATGAGAACACCTGGATCAATCCCGCTGCCCTTTTCCAGCTTCCCAATGGCCACAAACCTCATGTTTCGGCTCATGGGTGCACTGAGGCTGCCTCTCCTGTGTGCAGGATGGGTGCCTACGGCCCACCTACAGCCATGAGACATACGCTGATGTTAATGAACTCCTCCTGGCAGAGCCAGCTCCGCAGCCATGCCTCCCTCAGCAGCGATACTCAGAGGATCCGGCCGCCCTGCACTCCCATCTGTAGCATCAGGCACTGCCACAGGCAGGCAAATGCGTCCTGCTTCATCCTACCCCATTCATGGCATGGGTTGGGTTGGAAAGGACCTTAAAGCCCATCCAGTCCCAACCCCTGCCACGGGCAGGGACCCCTTCCACTGGAGCAGCTTGCTCCAAGCCCCTGTGTCCAACCTGGCCTTGAGCACTGCCAGGGATGGGGCAGCCACAGCTCCTCCGGGCACCCTGTGCCCGCCCCATTCCCTCACCTGCACACACAGAGCAGCAGAGCCCCCAGGAGGCTCCAACCGCTCCCGCCGGCCCCGGCCTCCTCACAGGCACCTCACGGAGCGCGCTCTGCCCGCACCGAGCACAAACCGCGCCGGAGGCACGAGGGGGGCTCCACCGCCTGCAGCCGCCGCGGGCACTGAGGCCATGGCGGCACCGAACCCCCCTCCATTCACCCCCCCCTTGAGCCTCCACCGCGCTCCCCTCCGGTACCGACCCCGCCGGGCCCGGCCGAGCGCTCCCACCTCTTCCGTTCCATCGCGGCCCGGGCCCGCTCCCGCCGGCTCTTCCGGCCGCCGCGCTCTCCTCCCGCCGACGGCTGTGCCGCGCTCCCACCGTTTCTTCCCTCCCCCCGCCGTCGGGCTCGGCTCGGCCCGGCCCGGCCTGACCCGATTCGGTTCGGTTCTATTCGGTTCTATTCGGCTCTACCCGGCCCGCTCCCGCCGGGCCCCAGCACCGCTCCGAGCCCTCCTCCTCCTCTCCTCCGCCTCCTCCACGCTCCGCTCGACTCCGCTCCGCCCGCCCCCGCGGCCCCGTTCCCGCCCCTCCCACCGGCTCTTATCGCTGCCGCTGGATCCCTCCGCAAGGATATAGTCCCTGCCGCCCACCGCTTGGCGGGAGTTGTGCTTATCCGGTTCCCCCCTTTCCCCGAAGCTCTCCCCGCGGCCCCGGCACCGCCGCTTTGGGCATTTTCCCCCTGCGGTCCTGGACCCGCGGGGCAGCGATCCCGGCCCGGGCAGCGGGGACACAACGGAGCGGGACCGGCACTGGCACCACCGCCGAGCCCAGACCCTTCCCGTGCAGGGAGAGGGGAAACTTGGCTGTTGAGAGAGCAGCTCCAGAACCTAAAGGGGCTGCAGGAAAGCTGGAGAGGGGCTTGGGACAAGGGCCTGTAGGGACAGGCCAAGGGGAATGGCTTGAACCTGCCCGAGGGGAGACTGAGCTGAGCTCTTAGGCAGAAGCTCTTCCCTGTGAGGGTGCTGAGGCGCTGGCACAGGGTGCCCAGAGAAGCTGTGGCTGCCCCATCCCTGGCAGTGCTCAAGGCCAGGTTGGACACAGGGGCTTGGAGCTGCTCCAGTGGAAGGGGTCCCTGCCTGTGGCAGGGGTTGGAGCTGGAGGAGCTTTAAGGTCCCTTCCAACCCAACCCAGGCTGGGGTTCTGTGATCTTTGATTTGCGTAAACCCAAGGCCCTGCGCACTTGGCTCCCGCTGTCCCCTCCACTGGAACCCACCAGAATCTGAAGTTTCTTCTCCTCTGTTGAGCCCTTGTCTTCACTGATTAGTTCATGTAATGGATGGGACATTTGGTGGGCTCATTCTGAAGAATAACCAGCTGCTAGAGCAGAGGCAATGCCAGGGTACTGGAAACAGAGGGATCACTGATCACACCTGAACTGTAACTATTTGAACAGAAATCTGCCCAAGAATCATAGCACGATTTGGGCTGGGAGCTGCTCTAAGGTCTCCCCTTCAGGAGCCTTCTCTTCTCCAGGCTGCCCCAGCCCAGCTCTCTCAGCCTGGCTCCAGAGCAGAGCTGCTCCAGCCCTCGCAGCATCTCCATGGCCTCCTCTGGCCTCGCTCCAACAGCTCCAGGTCCCTCTTGTGCTGCTGCCCCAGAGCTGGATCAGGGCTGCAGGGGGGGTCTCCCCAGAGGATGCAGATGTTTCTAATAGAGTATTTCTGGAGTCCTTCTGCTCTCCTGGAAAGAGAAACGTTAGGGATTCCAGTATTACCCTATGGTTAGAGACATCATTGGGAACGCTGCAGAAAACACAAGCAGCTCAGCAATCCCTGAAGGCCAAAGCAAGCCCGAGTCCATGTTTCTCGCAGTGCTTGCAAGGATTAAATACGGTTTCCTCCTTTAAACACCTTCTGATCTCAGGTGCTGCACACAGTGCTCTCACCGGGGCGTTGCTAAAGGTAGCCCCAGTGTGAGCAGCAGAGACAGCCAGGAGCTTTGGGCGGGTGGGCAACACAGGCAGAGCACGTTCAAGGCTTTCTGAAGGGCTCCCTCCTCTGCAGGAGCAGAGGGAACAAGCCCAGGCTTGGTGGTGTCTGAAGGCAGCAGCAGCACATTCTGCCTGTCCTGTCTGGACACGTCCAACAGGTACGAGCAGAGGCTCCCACTGTTCCAGGTCGGAGCTTCCAGCCCTGGTGAGGAGTGAGATCAGGCTGGCATCACGTCCCCTTTCAGGGTGGAAGCGGATCCATGTCGGTACCAATGTGCACAGCACAGGGCTGATGTCAAACCCACACTCTCAGTATCCCAAGGCACAGCAGCTTTGGCCTTTTGGGAGTGAAGGAGGAGCTCAGGAGCACTGCTGCAGCGAGGCAGTGGGAGAGATGGAGGCAACAGCATGGTCATCCCTGCGTACCATAAGCTTCTGCCTCATTCTGCTGGATGCAGCAGGGCAGCAAAGCATGGTTTGTATGTGAAGATTGTATTCCCTGTCCCCCAATTTGTTATCAGTGGTGATGCCAAAGCAATGCTTAAGCAATTACCCTGTTCATCCAGCACAGTGCCACCGTTCGGGCAGGGTTTACAACAGCTCCCCATAGAAATACCACTTGGAAGCCTTCCGCCCTGCAGGGGACACTCAAGCAGCACAGTCGCTCCAACAGCTTCTTCCCTTAAGAGGTTCCACCATTTCTTGACAGCCCAAAATGATACCACGGTGAAATTTGGCACTAAACAGAGGGAAAACAGTGACACTGGTCTTACACAAGGGTTTTGTGGTTGTCGTGGAAAGGGATGAACTCTCCACCCCTAAGTCTGAGCCATTTGCTGCACCTCAGTGGCAGAGACCACATCAAAACCAATTCTTGCACTTGTTTTCTCTATCAGCTGAAGATGTTTCCACCTCAAGGGCTCTGTTTCATCAGCAGCTTATGGTGATGAATTGTCCTGGTGGCTTGCCCCTGTAATGCCAGCTGGGGTTAAACCATGACACAAATACGGGATGCATGAAGTATAGATAGATTCTTTCCCTACTCAAACCCCACATTAAGAAAGTGACCAAGCTGCTCTTTAAGCCCTAAGTACATGGAAAGCCCCTCAGGGATTGCAGACTGCCTGCCTTGAGCCCCTAGGTTCAACCAAGATGTGTGCCCCACCAGGCATTTGAAGGGGTCCACAGATTGATGGTAAAAGGATGCAAAACCCTGCGTTAAACTAAGTACCATAAACCACTGCAATATTGGCTATGAGAAGTTAACTGCATGCATGAGTCCAAAGTGCTACTGATGTGGGAATGATTAGCTTAATATGAAGACATAACTAAGAACAGTTCAAGAACTACAGCACTACGAGGAGCGAGGAGCAAAAACTACCCACAAACAAATAAAGAGGCTTATCCAACCCAGCATCCCCTGCTTGATGCCTGAGGAACGGGTATAGGATGAAAGGCAAACGCTCCTCCTTAGGACACACACCCAAACAAGCTGAAGACATAACCCAAACAAGGAGTCCAGCCTAAAGAACGTGGCCTAAGAAGGCAAAACACACGCTGAAAAAGGCAAAACTGTAATTCACTTGGTTTATTTTGCCCATCAAACTCCCCCCGTGACAACAAGAGCTGCTGTGATGGTGATGAGTGGAAGAGCGCGAGGCAGGCTGGCCAGGGAAGGCAGACGTGCTCCCAACCAAGTGGTCAGAAGTGCTCCAGGGAGAGGACACCAGGACCTGTTGCAGAATCTTTACTGGGCATTCTGAGTTCAGTGGAGGGAGGGTCTCAGCGGATGGACGGCTCCAGAACGCTATCCAGCAATGCATTTCCTACAACAGACACAAAGCAAGACGTTAAGCAGTGCTTCCTGCAAAGTGCTACAGCAGCCAACAGCACAGGCAGACTTCAAAAGGCTCCAGTATCCAGGCAAGGAGCTTCTGTTGCAGAAGCTGGTACAAGCAGGGCAGAAGGCAGGCAGGCCTACAGGCTCTTTGGAAGGAACGTCCTCCTCCTCTGTTCCTCCTCAGATGATTCATGCACAATGAGACTTCAAAGCTCTTGTTTCAAAACAAAGAACATCCCTGTTGCTACTAGTGGCTAAAACTACATTAAACTAAGACAGGGTCACTTCACTGCCTCTACATAACGAGAGCTTTTCCACTGCCTTGTGGGGACACCACAAGATGCACTTGTAGATGTTTACAATCAGAGCATCCACAGCTTGGGTTGGGCTGGAAGGGACCTTAGCCAGTTACCTCCTGCCGGCAGGGACCCCTTCCACTGGAGCAGCTCCAAGCCCCTGTGTCCAGCCTGGCCTTGAGCACTGCCAGGGATGGGGCAGCCACAGCTTCTCTGGGCACCCTGTGCCAGCGCCTCAGCACCCTCACAGGGAAGAGCTTCTGCCTTATCTCCAACCTGAACTTCCCCTGTTTCAGTCTGAACCCATCACCCCTTGTCCTATCACTGCAGTCCCTGATGAAGAGCCCCTCTCCAGCATCCTTGTAGCCCCCTTCAGACACTGGAAGCTGCTCTGAGGTCTCCACGCAGCTTCTCTTCTCCAGGCTGAGCAGCCCCAATGTTCTCAGCCTGGTTCCATGCAGGAGCTGCTCCAGCCCCTGAGCATCCTGAGACAAAGGGGCACAAAATCACAAAATGGGATATAGAAACTTTTATAAGAAGTTTTAAGTAATGTTAAGTTTGATGGCTTTGTAACAGTAGCAATGGAAAATTACTGAGGTGCAGGATACATAGAGAAAAAAAACAGAGTACAACTAGAGAACATACTAAGAATTCTCACAAGATAAATCGTTATAGTTGGCCTAGTTTTAAGAAAAACAGTCTAGAAGAACAGGACACAGGGATAAGGAGTATCTGGGAATGGCAGGTGTCCAGGATGGGCTACAGTTAAACTAACTGATAAGTAGGAGGATAGGAGGATTATTATGTCTCTGGTGCTAACGAACCAATTAAACTGGTATGAGCATCTACTGCGCGTGCTTCAAAGGCTGCCAGAAGTGATGAAGATTGTTGGAAGAAGTAACCGACCCTCAGAGACCACCACCACAAGTCTGTACGCATGCGGGGAACTCTCTGGAAAATGATGTAATCCATACGTAGCCTCATGAATATGTATGTATGTCCAGTGACTATATAAGGGTGGCTTGTATAGCAGTACGGGGACACACGTTAGGAGGATTTATCCCCCGTGTCTCCCGGCGCCGCAATAAAGAATACCCGCTTGTCAGCTTGAAAACTTTGTTGGCAAGTTTGTTCCTGGAGTTTTCTCCGAATCAATTTGGCGACCCAGATGGGACCCTCTCTGCTCGGCTGCAGGACCCGCTGAGGACAGGGCTCCCTAGGGCCCTCGGGAATTTTTCCTGGAGGGACCCCTCGGCTCATTCGGATCGCTGCGGGAGCAGACAAGGACCATCTCATAAAAGGTATTCTTTTTTTTGTATAGTCTGTAAGGTGCAGGGGGCACCTCGGTTTGGTAAATTGGTTTGGTAAATTGGTTTGGTAAATTGGTTTGGTAAATTGGCTTGGTAAGCGTACGCATGGTTTGGAAGCCTTCCGTAAATCGAGATAAGAAATCTCGTAGGTAAAGGCGTATACCCGGCTGCTAGCGTCCGTTCGGTATACACCCACAAGAAGCAGGGGGCTTCTTGTAGTTTGGGTCCTGCAAGACGCAGGGGGTATCTTGCAGAAAAAGGTTTTGGATTTTACTGGTATACACCCAAAGGAAGCAGGGGGCTTCTTGTGGTTTGGGTCTTGCAAGACGCAGGGGGTGTCTTGCAGAAAAAGGTTTTGGATTTTACTTGTATTTGATTTATTTTGTGGCTTGTTATATTAAGGATTTTGGTCTTGTGGTTTTGGTATCAGTGACAGACTGTTATAACTAAGCAGGGGGTATCATCTTGTGATTTAAGTCCTACAAGACACAGGGGGGTGTCTTGTGGAAATGGTTTTGGGTCCAGTGTGCTATCAACAGCCCATAAGGGATTTTTTTCAGTGATGCTGTCAGCGGGGGTCCCTGAATAGGTTAGTAGAATCACCCTCCGATACAGTGGGCTGTTCAGTATGGCTCCCACAGTGGGACGCAGACAGGCTGGTCGGACACAAGGGTCTCATCCTTCCTGGGACACTGACAGGCTGGTCAACTATAAAGGGTTCAAGGAAACCCCCCTATTAATGTTACAATATGGTCTGAGCTATAAGGGTTAGGAAGTATTGCTTTTGATTCTACTGGTATTCGCTTATTTTGTGGCTTGTTACAGTAATGATTTTGGTCTTGCGATTCTGGTACTGCTGACAGGATGTTATAACTGTGTTATTAACTGTTGTTTGTTTGGTTGAATTTAAGTCTCTGTCTTTGTCTCAAGTATTGTAACTCTGTGGAGTATGTCTGGGGATCCCATCTGTGTGTGTGTGTGTGAATGTGAGATTGATAATGGAAAATCAGCAGAGTGAAGAGATCTTGAAAAAGAATCCTTTTGGGTGCATTTTGGCACACTGGAAAAAACTTGGAGGGTCTCCTGGGGGCTTGGTAAATAAGAAAATATTGGTAAAATATTGTAACCAATGGTGGCACTTTGTATACTTTGGAAGATCAGGAAAAATGGCCTAAAAATGGAACTCTGAACTATAATACATTGTTACAATTAATGTTGTTTTAAGGGGGCAAGGAAAATGGGATGAAGTAATGTATGTAGATATGTTTTTCACTTTAAGAAATCACACAGAGTGACAGACTGAATGCAAAATTAATATAGCTCCACCAGATTCCTTAATTTTGGCTTTGGAAAAGGACAGGGAAAAACTGAAAGTTACGCTGGAGATGCTCAGCCTCTGATATTGGGGAAAGATGTTTAAAGTTAAAAAACAGTAATCAGGAACATAAGGTGGAAAATCACGTACTACAGGTACCTCCGAGAGGAGCACCCTCTGCCTCTGTCCTATCTGATATTGATAAGGAGGAAGAGATTTCTGTCACTGGCAACAAGCGGCACATCCACATTCAGAGTTAAGAAGGGGTTAAACCAGAAGTGCCGTTGCAGAGGCAGGCATCTGCAGGCCCTGCAGAGCAGGGGGAGCTGCTGTGAGAAAAAGAAAAAAAAAAAAAAAGGAAAACCAAGGGGGAAAGGAGGGGAGCTCGAGCAGCTCCAGTGTTTGAGCGTGGGAGGAGGGATGTCTGCAGGAGGTGGGGGAGTGGGCTCTTCTCTTCTGTGGGACCGGACCGGTGTGCGTGCTATGGGGGTTTTGGACGCTGGAAGTGAGACTGCCTGGGGAGGGCAGTGCCATGGAGTGGCTCCGGTGACTGAACTGGAACTAAACTGACGGGGACCTGGGGAATCTACCCTAGCAGATCCACTGGTTACATTAAGACTATGAACTAGGGGAAATAAAGTGGAATTTTAGTGGATACAGGAGTAACTTATTTGGTGTTAAATAAGAGAGAAAAGAATTCGTTACAGATGTGGGAGCTACTGGCCACCAAGGAAAAGAGGAAAAAAAAAAAAAAAAGGCATTCTTTTTGGAACCTTTAAAGTACAAATTGGGAAAACAAATTGGAATGCATAAATTTTTATGCATGCCAAATTCTCTAAAATCTTTGTTAGGGCGAGAAGCAACATTTAAAGAAGGCAAAATGGACTTCAGAGTTAAAAACAATTAATTGCAGTTTTGAGTTTAATTCAACAGAAAAGCAAAAAGGAGGACCTCCCTGAAATAGAAGAAATCCTTAATCAGGTGTATGTGGGAGTATGGGCACCTGAAGTTCCAGGTAAGGCGAAAAATGCTTTGCCTGTTATAGTGGAAATAAAAAGGGGGGGGGCCTACCCAATTAGAATAAAACAGTATCCCTTAAAATTAGAAGATCAAAGGGAATAAAAAAAATTGATAAATTTTAAAATATAGATTATTAATTGAATAATAATCAAAAATGGTTTGCCGTCCTGGATTTAAAAGACACTTTCTTTTGCTTACCACTGGCCAAAGAAAGCCACAATTATTGGCTTTTAAATGGGAAAATCCTGACAGAGGAAGGGAAACTCAATTAACTTGGATAGTTTACATAAAGGGTTAAAAAAACAAACAGTCCAGCAATTTTTGGAAATCAGCTAGCATGAGAACTAGAATCATGGAAGCCACCTACTCAAACGGGACTCTGTTACAATATGTGGATGACCTGTTAATTGCTACAGAAACAAAGGAAGAATGTATCAAGTGGACAGTGGAATTGTTAAATTTTCTGGGACTGAATGGTTATCGGGTATCCAGACAAAAGACCCAACTAACCCAAACCCAAGTTTCCTACCTAGGATATGAAATAACAGGAGGACAGAGAGAACTTGGAACTGCTAGAAAAGAAGCCATTTGCCAGACTCCAAGACCAGCGACCGTCAAGGAGCTCCGGACATCCCTGGGAATGACTGGATGGTGCAGATTTTGGATCCATGACTATGGTGTTCTGGTAAGACCCCTATATGAACTGTTGAAAGGAAACTCTCCCTCTTTAGAATGGACTGATACAGCAGAAGGGGTTTTTAGAAATTTAAAAACAGAGCTAATGAGAACTGCAGCTCTGTGACTCCTGGATGTGACTAAATCCTTTTGGCTATATTCCTGTGAAGAGCAAGGAATAGATTTGGGGGTCATTGCTCAAAAACTAGGACCCTACAGAAGGGCAGTGGCCTATTTTTCAAAACAGCTGGATGAAGCGAGCAAAGGATGGCCCAGATGCCTAAAAGCTATGGCAGCAGTTATCACAAATATTAAAGAGGCTTGCAAATTTACTTTGGGACAAAAGATTACTGTACTAGTGTCCCATGTGGTATCAGTAGTCCTGGAGCAGAAAGGAGGTTATCTCCTTCACGTTTTTTTAAATACCAGGCCACTATTGTAGAACAGGATAATACAGAAATTGCGGTCACTAACATTGTGAATCCAGCATCCTTTTGCAGGAACAATCGACAGAACCACTAACAAAAGACTGCTTGACCACCATAGAGACTGTATATTCGAGCCGACCAGACTTGAAAGAAAGACCTCTGGAAGATGCTGATTCTTGGTTTACTGATGGTAGTAGCTTCATGAAAAATGGTAAATGAAAGGCAGGATATGCCATTACCACCACTTCACAGGAAAAAAAAAAAAAAAAAAAAATCTAAACCTTCACCTGGTAACACCTCTGCCCAGAAGTCAAAAATAATAGCATTAATAAGAGCCCTGGAACTGGCTAAAGATAAAAGGATAAATATTAGGACTGATTCTAAATATGCATTTGGTGTGGTCCATGTCCATGGTGCTATCTGGAAAGAATGTGGACCTTTGAACACACAAGGGAAACAGGTTAACCATGCTACAGAAATTCTACAATTACTGGAAGCTGTTCAGCTACCTGAAGAAGTAGCTGTTATGTACTGTAAAGGACATCAACAAGGTGGCTCTGATCAAGAAATTGGAAATAATTTGGCCAATTTTGAAGCCAAACGAGCAGCTGAACAATTTCAAATCATGTCCTTAATCCCTGACGGCAAACTACCAATTGAAAAATCTAAACCTAGATATTCAAAAGAGGATAGAAAATTGATTGAGAATCTAAAGGGACAGGAAAATAGAGGGTTGGGCTCAAATACCTGGTGGGCAAATTGTAATCCCCTATAACCAGCTCTGGATGTTAGCTCAGGAAGAACATAATAAAACTCATTGGGGTAGCAACTCTTTGCATAAATATTTAGACAAACAAATCTATACACCACAGTTCAATTAGTGACAAAACAATGTCAGCTATGTCTTAAGAATAATCCTAAGACTGAAAATAGAAATCAAACTGGGACAATTGGGAGAGGAAGTTATCCGGACAGCAGTGGCAAATAAGATTTTTCTGAATTACCAAAAAAAAAAAAAGGGGTGGTTATCGATATTTATGGGTGTTAACGGATACTTTTTCAGGCTGGCCAGAAGCATTCCCTTACAGAATAAATAATGCAAAACAAGTGATTAAAATATTATTTAACAAGATAATAAGATCATTTTGGGGTACCAGAGGCAATTTCTTCTGACCGAGACTCGCACTTTAGTGCAAAATTGTTACAAGAAATTAGGAAAAAATTTGAAACTGATTGGCAACTGCATGTTCCATATAGGCCTTAGGCCAGTGGGCAAGTAGAAAAGATGAACCATCTGATTAAACAACAAATTAGTAAAATATGTCAGGAAACAAATTTATATTGGTACCAGGCATTACCACTGGCTTTATTAAGAATTCGAACTAGACCCCGGTCAAAAGAAGAGGTTAGCCCATTTGAGATTTTGTATGGAAGACCGCATCAGTCCCAGTTTAAAGGAGAAAGTCTTCAGGAAGTGGGAGAAGGCTATCTCCAACAGTTTCTGATCAATCTGGGAAAACAATTGGAGGAGATAATAGGGAAAAGAGCAAGAGGTTTGGATTATCCAATTCACTCTTTCAGATCTGGAGACTGGGTTTATGTTAAGAATTTTTCAGGAGATCCTCTACAGGAGAAGTGGAGCGGACTGTACCAGATATTATTGATCACCTTTACAGCAGTGAAGATAAAGGAACAACCTGCTTGGGCACATTATTCAAGAATAAAGAAAGCATCAGAGCCAGAGAAGACAGGGTGGATCGAACCTTCAGTACCCTTGCGTATGAAATTGTGTCGGTCATAATTTGGACTCATATGATAACTGGCGCACAAGCTTGGGACCAGAATTTATACCTGAAATTAGTGCAGAATGTTACTAATATTTTCATCATAATGACTGTTGGGTGTGTGCACAGTTGCCTAAATCAGGAGAAAGCCTGGATCTCCCATTAATTGGAGTTCCAATTCCTAACACTGTCTCATGGACAAATTTGTGGGTGAACAATAGCGATCTGTATTTGAAGGAAAGGTTAACATTTGAAATAGTTAATCCTAACCCAGGTAATAAATACTACACCTGTGCACAAAGGGGTATTACATCAGAAACCAGAGTAGGAGATCAGGCTTGTTTAAATGCCACAGATGTAGGTCACCATTCAAATTACAATCATACAATTAACAATTAACATAGATGGTATCGTAGTTCAGTGATGGCCCATTCCTAAAGGGAAAGGATGGTATTGGTTATGTGGAAAAATGCTTATAAGATTCTACCCCCCAACTGGAAGGGGGCATGCACCTTAGGTGCTGTAATACCCAATTTTACTATTATCAACAGGTACCCTTCCGGGACCTGGATTAGAAGTTTTGCTGAACGAATTAATTGAGGGTTTAACCCTATTATTCAACAGCACAACTCATTTCACAGTTTTGTAAAAGGGCTAATTCCATCTTTGGCAGTAAGTGAATTAGAGAAGGCAATTGTAAATATCTCGGCAACCATAGAGGAAATGGAAAGTAAAAACATCGATATAATCCAGGCAGAACAAGAGATAACTAGCCTATCTAAGGTGATATTACAAAACTGAATGGCTCTAGACATGTTACTGACATCACAAAGAGGGGTTTCTTCTATAATCAATGAAAGGTGTAGTTCCTATACAGACTAAAGTGGTGGAATTGAAACAGATCTGGAGGAAATTTGGAAACAAACTAAGATATTTTGTGAAATGGCCATGGATGGCACCTCCTGGGGCTTTGAAGAAACATGGAAAAAGTTAACTTCATGGTTACCCAATCTCTCCTGGTTGAGGCAACTGGTTGCAGGAATATTGGTGTTAATTATTTTAATATTGATTACTTGTGGTATGATACAATGTTCCCTCTGGTGTTGTAAACGGTCTATGATAAATTACGAAGAATGGAAACGGAATGAAACTAAGCACCAGGTAGAAACGGGATATTATTTCAAAAAGACTTTTGGTGGTAATGGTAATATATAAAATGTTGCAAAAGAATTTGCAAAAGGACAGAAAAAGGGGGGAATTTGAGACAAAGGGGCACAAAATCACAAAATGGGATATAGAAACCTTTATAAGTAGTTTTAAGTAATGTTAAGTTTGATGGCTTTGTAACGGCAGCAATGAAAAATTACTGAGATGCATGATATATAGAGAAAAAATAGAGTACAGCTAGAGAACATACTGAGAATTCTCACGAGATAAATTGTTATAGTTGGCCTAGTTTTAAGAAAAACAGTCTAGAAGAACAGGACACAGGGATAAGGAGTATCTGGGAACTGCAGGTGTCCAGGATGGGCTACAGTTAAACTAACTGATAAGTAGGAGGATAGGAGGATTATTGTATATGGTGCTAACGAACCAATTAAACTGGTATCAGCATCTACTGCGCGTGCTTCAAAGGCGCCCGAAGTGATGAAGATTGTTGGAAGAAGTAACCGACCCTCAGAGACCACCACCACAATTCTGTACGCATGCGGGGAACTCTCAGGAAAATGATGTAATCCATACGTAGCCTCATGAATATGTATGTATGCCCAGTGACTATATAAGGGTGGCTTGTATAAGCAGTACGACGGGGACACACGTTAGGAGGATTTATCCCCCGTGTCTCCCGGCGCCGCAATAAAGAATACCTGCTTGTCAGCTTGAAAACTTTGTTGGCAAGTTTGTTCCTGGAGTTTTCTCCGAATCAATCCTCATGGCCTCCCCTGCACTGGCTCCAACAGCTCCATGTCCTTGTGCTGGGGACCCCAGCACTGCACCCAGTGCTGCAAGTGGGGTCTCAGGAGAGCAGAGGGGCAGAGTCAGATTCAGAACAACCCATCTCATACGCAATTAAAGAAGGAAATTAAAATCACTTGGAGAAAGCCAATTTCCCAATGAATTTCCCTGAATGTTCGATTGAATAGGAGTTACAGGGAACAGAAAGGAGTCTGAATTCACCTAGCAACAAAAAAAGTCACGAGGTTGAAGCCATCCTGCCTCGGAACGCTCTTCAGTTCAGCATCAATAACTTGATTTGACCCTGCAAGAACTACACCAGGCTGGGCAGAATCCACCACCTGCACAATACTCACTCGACAATCAGATCTGGGTTCAGATTTCATCCTCCTGGCGCTCTGGGAAGCCCCACACAGAAAGGGACCAAGTCCTGAACACTCAAACTGAGCATACTTGGACCAAATAACACCTGATTGTGCCCTGGCCAGACCGGGCTCATCAAGTGTCACACCAAGAGCACGCTATTTCAGCTAAGAGAAGCACCACCAGAACTTACCATTAGAGAGAAGCTTAGTCTTCAGTTTTATACTTGCCACCGATGTAGGGAACATATTGAAGGACCAGCTTCCAGTCTGTGCCCCATATTACACCGATACCAGCCACGCTGCCCCACGTCATGAGGGTGGGAGTCCTAAGGAAGACACACACATATAACACTGCCGGCAAACTTTAATTCGCCACTGTGAACGGTCTGACAAATGCGAAGGTACCTGGGGAAGTGCTTTTAATAAAAGGGAAAAGCCTGGCAGGGATCATGGAGAATCTCATAAAGCATCGGGCCCCAAGACCATCACAAGGAAGGCTTGGGGTGATTTCATTTAAGAAGAGCGTTACCAAGATAGGAAAAGATGCATGGATTTCTTTAACCATTGACTGCAATGGCTCACAATGGCTTTACCCGAGCCTGCAGGCCACGGTCGTTCGCCCTCACACAACCCTGCAAAGCGGCACTCGAGGGCACTGCAGCATTTACAGACCCACAGCCTGGGATGGGTTGAAGGGACCTTAAAGCTCCTCCAGCTCCAACCCCTGCCACGGGCAGGGACCCCTTCCACTGGAGCAGCTTGCTCCAAGCCCCTGTGTCCAACCTGGCCTTGAGCACTGCCAGGGATGGGGCAGCCACAGCTTCTCTGGGCACCCTGTGCCAGCGCCTCAGCACCCTCACAGGGAAGAGCTTCTGCCTTATCTCCAGCCTGAACTCCCCTGTTTCAGTCTGAACCCATCACCCCTTGTCCTATCACTGCAGTCCCTGATGCAGAGCCCCTCTCCAGCATCCTTGTAGCCCCCTTCAGACACTGGAAGCTGCTCTGAGGTCTCCACGCAGCTTCTCCTCTCCACGCTGAACAGCCCCAGTGTTCTCAGCCTGGCTCCATGCAGGAGCTGCGCCAGCCCCTGCTCATCCCCGTGTTCCTCACAGCCCTGGATCCCCTAAACACACCCAGCGCAACCTGGAGCCGAACCACCGACCTCAACCCACCCCTTCAAACCCAGCCGGGGCCTCGCACTGCCCAGACCCACGGAACCCTCTCGGGAAGCCCCTCAGGCTCCCGAAGCGCCCGAGCCCGAAGCCCGAGCCCGAGCCCGAAGCCCGAGCCCGAGCCCGAAGCCGAACCCCGAGCCCGAAGCCGAGCCCGAGCCCGAGCCCGAGCCCGAGCCCGAGCCCGAGCCCGAGCCCGAGCCCGAGCCCGAAGCCGACGCCGCACCCGCACCCGCACCCGCACCCGCACCCGAACCCGAACCCGAACCCGAACCCGAACCCGCACCCGCACCCGAACCCGAACCCACCAGGTCTGCAGGAGCTGGGCGTAGCGCGGCCCCAGCACCTTAGACAGCATAGCGGCGGCTGCCCGGCCTCAAAGTCACCCCCACCGCGCATGAGCAAGCCGCGGGGGCCTTCGTGCGGCAGAGCCGCGGTGGGGCTGTCCGCGGCGCTGCCTGAGTCAAGCGGAGTAGTCATGGCAACCCCCCCCCGGGAACCACGGATCCGCCATTCCCGGTCTTCGTCCCTCCCGGCCCCGTGGTACCCGCATCAACCCGCGTCCTGGCCCCGTTTGACGGCCATGAGCGCATCCACTTGGCCTAGTGGAAGGTGTCCCTGCCCTGGGCAGCCTGTTCCAATGCCTGAGCACCCTCTGGGGCAGGAATTGTTCCTCAGCTCCATCTAAACCTGCCCTGGTGCAGCTTGAGGCCGGTTCCTCTTGTCCCATCCCTTGTTCCTTGGGAGCAGAGCCCAGCCCCTCCTGGCTCCATCCTCCTGTCAGGGAGCAATCAGGTCCCCCCTGAGCCTTCCCCATCAGAACCCCCAGGTCCCTCAGCCCTTCCCCATCACACTTGGGCTCCAGGCCCTGCACCAGCTCCATTGACCCCTCTCCAGCACCTCCATGTCCCTCTCGCAGTGATGTTGTAGTGATGTCTCCCCCATTACCCTAAGCTGGGCTCCTGGGAAGGGCTGGGTGTCTTTGACTTGATTTCCAGTCTGCACCCTCCCAGTGCTGCCTTCATCGGGTGCGAGGCAGAGGCAAGGAAACCAAGAGCCCTGCTGCAACCTCCACCTCCCCACAGACAAACAGGGGCCGCATCCCAGCTAAACCCACAGAGATGCCCCATGTAACCCGGGCTAAACCACAGCCTGCATCAAGACCTGCACCGTGGAGAGGTGGCGGAGGACCCATGGACCACAGCATCCATCACAGCACGGCTCCCTGCGGCAGGGAGACCCCAGCACCTCCACACGGCTTTCTGATGGCCCTGGATGTGACACAAGGGTGATGTGGGGAGCTCAGTCCCGGGCCCAGCACACAGGGACAGAAAGTGAGGGCTCCGGGTCTGGAAACACTGGGTTTAGATTGGATATAAGGAGGAAACTCTTTCCTGTGAGGATGCTGAGGCACTGGAATGGGTTACCCAGGGAGGTTGTGAATGCTCCATCCCTGATGGTGTTCAAGACCAGGTTGGATGAAGCAATGGGTGAGATGCTTTAGTGCGAGGCGTCGGGGTCGGAACTGGATGATCTTAAGGTCCTTTCCAACCCAAACCATTCCATGATTGTATTCTAAACCTGCAGTGTCTTCTCCTTCTTCTTTGGCCAAGGTACTGCCTTTATGACCCCTTTGCATTCGCAGGTGTACACCAGCTGAAAAGACCCGGGCAAGAAGAACAAGGTTACGGGCTATTGTTATAAAAGGTCACATTTATTGCTACATCACTGTTATATACAGGACAGTTCTCCAAGTCTACTTTAAAAAAGTTAGGATTATTTCAAAATTCCAAATAATCCAGCCAGCTGTTTGGACACTTGTATAAAATTATTTAAAAAAATGAAAACAATTCATATCTTGAGGCACTCAGAAACACAATTTTATCCCCCAATTGGGATTCATTTCCAAGGACATTTCCCCACCCCCAAAGACCTTTTTTTTTTTCCCTTTAATTTTTTTGCTGGGTTAGGCATATATATATATATATTTACTATATATATAGTTCAAAACTATAATGTGTATCTGATTTAAGAACAAGGATTTCAGCCACTTAAGTACATCTGGATTTACAGGTAGGCAGCATAAACATCAAAAGCAAGGACCAGTTTTGGTTGGTTTTGAAGGGGATAAAACCCTCAAAACCAACCCAAACCTGTCTATGGGGCAAATAATAAACGACTTCTGTAGGGATCTCCCATCCCCTGTCCTACAAAAATAGAGCGAAAGAGCAACCCCACGAACACTTGGGTTTCCCCATTGAGCCCTCCAGAGCAAAGGGGTCATTTCCTGCCCGGTCCCAAACGCTGGTGGGTTTCAAGTGATTTGGGAAGACGTAGCACCGGGAAGGGGGAGCCGTGGTGTCCCCAGCTCGTTGCCATGGGGAGCCCCACAGCTCCCATGGGCACAGCCTGGGGATGCTCTTCAGCAAAAGGCCTCGGTGTCCGGGATGCCCCATTGGGAGAGGCACAAAGCCCATTGCTCTCTGCACTGTATCAGGATGTGACAGGGAGTGAGTTTTATTCCCTCTCCTTCCTGCTTGCCTGGCCCGCGGTGGGTACTGGTACCCAAGGTGTACAGAAGCAGAGGGACAGGACCAGCGGTGTGGAGATGCACGGCAGGGCTGCCTCTTGCATCCCCAGGGGATGGAGCCAAGCTGGACACACAAGGTTTGGCAGAAAGGGCTCCTGCAGCCTGCATCATCCTCACCAGAGCCCTCCTCCACGCTCGGCTCATGCAGGAGTCCCACAGGCAAAGGCACTGCAGCGCTGATTCTCCACAAGGGGGGGGGATTGAAAGCACCGGGTCCCCCCACAGCAGCCCCAAGGCCAAGGAGAGGCAGCCACGCCATGGGACCGCCCCACAGCATCCACCTCCTGAATCCCTGTGAAGGAACCCATGGTGCCTGTGCATGAAGGGGAACAGCTTGGAGGTGCTGGCTGCAGACACTGGGGTGCACGGGAGGAAGGAAAGCACCCCTTCAGGCTGGGGGAGGCTGAAGGAAGACCAGCCCAAGGCTCAGGCATTAACAGAGCAGTCTGTAGAGCTGGGCAGCAACAAGGTGGGACACAGCTTCTCCATTCAAGGGGTACTGGGGGAGATGGTGCGAGATGCAGGATGCTGGCAGTGAGCCCCCAAGTATTGAGCAGAAGGCACAGGAGAGTGAAGGGTGCATGGAGGAGCCCTAGGACCACTGCTGAGCTCCTGCAGCATGAGTTGGAAGGGATGCCCCTATGGTCTCACCCCTTTACCCCCTTCCAGCTCCAGGGCACAGGCCTTGAAATGCTTTTGGAGCTGCTAGAAATGAAGCTGGACCCAAAGAGCAGCTGGGAGCAGGAACTCAGCAGTCATGGACAAGAGCAGGAAGAACGGGCTGGGATGGGATCTGGAGAGCCCCAGGGGAGAGGAGAGGGAGTTGCATAGGATTTAACAGGGCAAAGACCTTGTGCAAGCTTATGGTACAGAAAACAGGTCTTGCTATTGCTGGTGTTGAGCAGGAACGGGGGAAGCCAGCATCCAGGGCTTGCTCCAGGTGAGCCAGCACCGCACCTCGGGGGCTGAGGCTCGGCCTGGCCCAACTCCAGAACCATCTTCGCTTCCCCTGCCCGTGTTCAGCTCTGTTCTGACATCCCAGGCCAGTGACCAGCACAGCACCCAGCCCAGCAGGGCTGGCACTGAGGCTGGCAGCCTCCCCATGGCAGCAAGGCTGAGGGGTGCAGGGCATCGGGGTTTTCCAAAGCCCCCTTCCCACCTGCCAAGGGGGAGGATGTGCTGAATGGCACCGCAAGAGCCCAGGGTCCTGCTGGCTTCAATGGGTGCATGCGTGAGCCACAGAGGACCTCTGTGAGCAGCTTCTGCACTGAACCTGAAACTGCAGACTCCTGGGGGAATCCCAGCCTGCCTCTTTCCTTCCTGTTCCATCACTACCAGGCAGTGCCAAGCCTCTAGGAACCCAGCTCATCCCTCACACAGGGCTGAGAGCAAAACCCCTTCCCTGGAGTCACACTGGGGAGGTTTCACATCACATGGCTGCATTGCTCTACTGGGATAGGGCAAAACCCCCCAGCTGCAAAGCACCCAGACCCCTGGCCCTGCAGTGATGGTGCACAGGGAAGGGGCAGCAAGATGACCCCAGTGCCTGGGGCTGGCATGGACCTGCTGCTGACAGCCAGACGCAGGATCAATGCATGCAAACCATCAGCCTGGGCACCGCTCTTGCTCTCAGTGCAAACCTGGAGCAGCACAGGGCAGGATGCTCACCTCTGTAGGATACCTAGAGCAAGCTGTAAAAGCAGGGAGCAGAGAGCCCGAGGAGATGCTGTAAAGAGCTGGAGCTGCCCTCAAGCCAGGCTGGATGCTCTGACTGGTGGGTCACAGGCTAAACCAAGGGTAGGTGCCACACAAGCAGCTTCCCATGGAGGCAGTGCCCCAGGGACCCCAGTTTGTGCTGTTTGATTTCCTTCCTTCCTAAGGAAGCTCTGGGGGGTGTGTGTATGTGGTTCATGGCCCCCATTGCTGAGGGGCACACAGGCCAGGAGAACTCATGCAGGTAAGGCTCAGAGGAAGCAGAACAGCAAATGATGCTCTGCAGCATTCACCTCCCCGTGACAGCTCTGTGAGGGCCATGCAGACAGGCAGAGGAGCATGGATAGGGACAAAAGCAATCTGTAGATGGCACAGACCCTGGCCCGCTCTGCCTATGGCACCTAAAGATGAGAGTCTCAGTTCAACAGGCTGATGTTGCAGGGTGGCATTCTGAGGACAGCACCCACCAGTGCTCACTGTCAGAAAAGCCCCACCAGGCACCACACTCACACTGAGCCAAACCCACTGCCAAAGCCAAAGGGGTTTTTCCTTGCTGCATTCCACAATTGCTCCCTGGGCACCTGGAGAGCAGAGATGCCACTGAGGCAGCTTCTGGGCATTACCAGTCCCCAACACTGCGCTTTCCTGCTGGAACAACCAAGATCTCCTCCAAACCCTGGCACTGAGGAGGGTTTCTGTTTGAGGACCTTCATCCAAACCTCGCCGAGGACCTAAAGCTGCTTTTGCTGTCAAGGAGACAGCATCTAAACCACCTAAATGCAGATGAAAAGCCCCAGCTCTGTTGCAGTGCCTGATGGTGGGAAAGGCTGCCTCATCAGGAGCAGAGCATCAGTCAGGATGAAGGAGTTGAACAAATCAATCTGCTCAGATTTCCAATTGTGCTGAGTTTCCAGGTTTTTAGGCCTACAGCCCCTCTCCAATGCAGCTGTACGTGACAGGACCAGCACCTCATCTCTTGTTGCAAAATCCAAGTGTCGGGGAAGCACTTTCGGTTTTGCTTTTCCATGGTCTCAAGCTTGCCAGGGCTGGGACAGTGCTCCAGCCCTCCCTGGTCCTGGGGCAGTGGCATTGAAGCAGCAGAACGGCCTGGGCAGAGCAAGCCAATGGCCTCAGCACCATCCTTATGAAAGGGCAAGAATGCTCATGGGATGAAGCAGAGAACAGCTGGTGAGTCTCCAGTTCCTAGCCCAGTGTGTGAATGGGGGTTGTCTGAGCATCCAGACCTGGCTGCAGAGGGGCACTGTCCCCTCCCTGCATGTTTTACTTGCTCCAACCCAATGTGGCAGGATGCTTCAGGAAGACACGGTTTGTACTGCAAGGGACCTGCTCCACAGGGGAATGCTGACACAGGTGAGAAGGGACCACAGGCACTGGCCCTTGAGGCTGCTGTGGTCTCAGGTCTCACCACACAGAAACGATGGTGGGAGCAGTGGGCTGTAGGCTGGGAAAGCCAGGAGCACCTGGAATACTGAGAGCTATGGTGGGACACTGCAGTGCCAGGGGCAGCATGGAGGGATGCTCCAGAGGCTGAGCCCGTGGTACCCAGGGGTAGGTGGGAGATGATCAATGTCCTGAGCATTGCTGGCAGGTATTGCTGGAGCACAAAGCATAGCAATGGGCACAGAGGAGGTGTAACCAGGTTATACCAAAGCCTGGGATTGCTGGGAAGTGCTGCAGGACTTCATCTTGTGTGCCAGTCCTGCCCTTTCCCTGTGCCAAAGCAATACAGCTGCAGGTCCTACTGTACTTGCTGTTCCCATGTTCCCCCTGACATGGTGTGGGCCACCTCTGAGATTAACAGGTTAACATTAACATGTTCCCCCTGGAGCTAATCCTGTCCACCTGCAGAGCTGGGAAGAACTGGGCACAAATCCTTCAGAAGGGGAAGGAGAGGGAAGAACCAAGATTATATTTCCATTGGATGCTTTTCCACTGCCAGCTCCAGAACGGCTCCCAACAGCTCAGCACCACTGAGCATCTCTTCATTTGCTCCTGCACCTCCAGGCACGCTAAGGGTCTTCCTCCTGCTGAGCACACTGGAGTGGTCAGAAGTGACACTGGGAAGCCCTCGGAGTGAAGGAATCGTTGGCTTGGCTGCTGGAGCATGGTATGCTCATTGTTCCCCTCCTTTCCAGCACGGAATGAGGAGCCCATGTGGAGGTGACAGTGGCCACTTTGCATCCCCATGGCAAACCAGTGTTGCCAAGCTGAGATTGCCTCCAGTTGGACTGAATTGGAGATGAGACAGTGGGGAAGGTGTGGTATGAAACCAGCCCTCGCCACAACCTGCAGTGTTCTGCCCCTCTGATGAGGAGGCTCCAGTGAGGGGAGAAGCTGCGCTGGATCCTGGTGCTGGTCCCAGCTTGCACATCCAGGTCACTGCTCCCCTGCCTGCTGCCAGCATCCACGGCTCTGGCTGCTGCAAGGCTGCTGGCACCGTGTCCTGCTGCTGCCTTTGCTCCATCCTCCTCAGCCTCTTCCCAGTCCTCAGCTTTGTTCAGTTCAGCTTTGTTCTGTGCTGCCCCAGGAAGCGCCTCTTGGAGCAGGCGTCTGCTTGGATGCAGGGGCACGGAGCGCTTCCCTCTTGCCTCTGTGTTGCTTCTTTGCTTACCTTGGAAGCATCCCATTCTCTCGGTCCTCTTCCACCCCCAGGACCTGCTCCCTCACGATGTTCTGGGTGAGCTGTGGGGCACCTCCTCTCCCGGGTGGGACTGCAGCCTCCGGGATGCTCCAGGAGCAAAGCAGATCTTGCAGAGACCCTCAATGGCCCTTGGTCACCTCCAGAAGGAGCAGGAGCATGGCTGAGGGATGCTGCTCAACCGGCTTTGCTGTTTAACTTCCTTTTCCCATCTCAGAAGTGGCCAAAAGCAAAGAGATGGTGACTTCAGCCCATGGGTTTGTTTCCGTCTAATGGAAGGTCCAAGCCAAGCAAGGACGAGCATCCCCTTGCTGTGGCTACATTCGCTTTTAGTGGCTTGCAGAGCCCAATGTGAGAATTCCTCTCTTTATATCCAGTCTCTCTTAATACAATTTTACTATTCTGGTTGATTCTAAAGATGCAACGTTAACTATAGAAACAGCAGCAGAAAAGCATGTGGGGTACAAGACTTTTTTTTTTTTGTGTTTTTTATACAAAAAAAAAAGAATTATTTTCGTTGCTTACAAAACATATGCAAAAGAAGCTAAAAAAAACCAACCAAAAAAAAAAAAACCAACCCAAAGGCATCGCTATTTGTTCTACATAAAAAAAAAATCTCATAACTAATGTTCTTTTTTTTTCATTTAAAAAAAGAAATATCAAGCTTAGGCACAATTTTGCTGCTGGCTGCTTGCGAACAAGCCAAGAGACCACGCCACCCCCTCCTAACTGAGTGATATGTATTGACTGGTCTGCACTTTATACTTAAGGCAATTTTTGTTTGCTTGCTTTTGACAAGGTGGGTGTTTGCCACCCCTTACGTCACGCCAGGATCCGTCCACGTGTGTCAGTATTAGCAGGACTAAAGTTTATGGGGAGAGAAGGTTGCAGGTCACCCCGAGGGTTTTCTTCCTACAGATCTCTGGATCCAGAAGAAGAAACAGATCTATAAATGGGAAAAGAAAAAGCCCAAAAGGCTGAAGTGAGAGAAACCCAAACGGGAATAAAACCACTCCTCAAGCTCAAGGTCTCCTCCTGCTGCAGCCTTGTCCCTGCAGGAGTCAGCCCCGATGCTCGATGTGGCTGCAGCAGAGCCAGGCATGAACTCACTGTGCTGCCAAGGCACCGGCTTTGGCTTTTGTCTTTTCAGGGCAGCTGCAGGTGCAGGGGATGTCAAAGAATCCCAGCCTGGTTTGGGCTGGAAGGGACCTTAAAGCTCCTCCAGTTCCAACCCCCTGTGGTCCTTCTCTGGACCATCTCCAACAGGTCCGCATCCTTCGGGTACTGAGGACTCCAGAGCTGGACCAGGACTGCAGAATGGGTCTTCCCAGAAGGCAGCAGAGGGGGAGAATCCCCTCCCTCGAGCTGCTGCTCACGCTCTGGGGATGCAGCCCAAGATACAATTGGTCTTCTGGGCTGCACGTGCACACTGCATGCACATGTCCACTCTTTCATCCACCAGTACCCCCAAGGCCTTCTCACTCCCTTCATCCCCCAACCTGTATTGCTGGCCAGCCCAGGGGCAGCACCCTGCGCTTGGCCTTGTTGAACCTCGTAAGGGCTCAGTTCTCGAGCTTGTCCAAGGCCCTCTGGATGCATCCCATCCCTGCAGGGTGTCACCTGCACCATTCAGCCTGGTGCCACACGCCCTAGGGTGTGCTGGAGCTGCAAGCTGAGGCACTGCAGCACAGGACCCACTGCTCCTGATCTCCTCAATCCCCCCCAGACATCCCTGCACCCCTGAGGCCAAATGGGGTCAGTTAATCCTGGCCAAGCACAGGCTTCCCTTAGACATGGGGACAGCACAAAGCCTGCATCTGCCATGGTCTCGCTGGAAGAATTTCACCTTCTGTGTCTTGCTTGGCATTTCTGGGACCTGCTCATTCCCTCCCATAGGGTCACCAGGAAAAGGAGCTGCTGGTTTCCAGAAGCCAAGTGGGGCAGGGATGGGAGGGACAGAGCAGAGCTGGGTTCACCCAGGGTAGCACAAGCATCAAATCCCTCTGTCTTGGCTACAGGGCTGCACCTCTCTCATGGGGCTTTAGGTCTCCCCAGACAAGCAGATGACATGCACATGCAAGTCATTTACTGAAAGTAAATTAGGAAGGACACCGGTTCATGCCAAACAAATGGGCCTGAGCATCCATCCAGCATGCACTGGCAGCGGGTTGGACCCACAGTGGGGTGCTGGGATCACAGGGTGAGGGATGATACCTTTACATGTGTCCAACAGGGTTGTGACCATCTCCTAGACCAGGATGTGAAGCTGAAAGTGTCATCTGGGGATCTCCTACTACTCCGGACACTTTCTCTTCTTCCCGACGCTTCAAGCAGGCTGCTTTAGGGTTCAGATTGCGCTCTATGCCAAAAAACATCAGGGGAGGGAGGGAGGGAATGAAGCAACCTCAGTTTGTGCAATAGCATCACACGCGGCAGCAGCATCCAAAAGAGAGAGGAAGGACAGAGTCCCAGGACAGACAGATGGGACCATGCGAGGAAACCACCTCAGTGCAAGCTGCTCTTTGCCTGCTGCTCCTTGCAGTGGCTGCAGTAACTTGGCCAGACCCCTGGTAATAAAGCAGAACCCCATGCCTGGCTCAGACACCATGCCCATTGAAACATGTGCTTGCTTAGAGAGAGAACCCCAGCTCTCGGAGTTGAGGACTGAGTTTTCCAAAGCTGCTTAATGGAACGCAGATGCCAAATTCCCATTAAGCAGGAACAGGGGATGGCCGGAGCAGCCTGGAATCCACCCCAGGCCAGGGCTTTGGAAAGCTCCACCAGTGCAACCAGCAGGAGTCACAACAGAGATGGACACACACGCAGAGACATGGAGATGGGGGGGAAGAGAAAGGCCCCGAAAGGCACCTGCAGCTGTTACCATACCTCGTACTTGCTGCTCCAGGCCCAGAATGACCTGCACCGCTTGCTGTAGGATGATCAGTTTGGTCTGTGCTTTGTCCGTTTTTAAGTGCATCTGACACATGCGTCCCAGTTCTTTAAAGGCCTCGTTAATGTCCCGCACACGCACCCTTTCCCTGGCGTTATTGGCCATTCTCCTCTCCCGGTCCCTCAGATCTTTGTCCTCCAGTGACAAGGCCTCGTCTGTACTGCTGGGTTCATAGCACCACAGGGATTAGTCAGGGGGGTGGTAGTGAGGAAGGGGGGGCTCTACGTTGCCGTGCTGGTAGTGCTGCTGGTGTCCACTGCAAAGGGCTCAAACAGCCTCACTCTGCAAAGCCAATTCCTCTTGGGTGCTTCCTGGAGCAGCCCAGGCTATCGGGGCTGTGTGCTGCCTCTGTGAGCCACAGCAAGGTGCTGCCAGCACAGGGCTGGAGGGGGCTGCCAGGGGTGAGAGCAGGCAGGGGATGCAGTCTCAGCACCCACACTCTCCTCTCTGCACAACTTTGCCTTCCTGTTTGGTTCTGGCTGAAAACTTAAAGTTGAGGGGGGGTTCCTCAGCCAAAACCATCAGGTTCCATCTCCCAGGGAAAGGCTTTTTGGCAGAAAGCAAATCTCTGTTTGTAAGATTTCCTTCAAAAATCACATCTGTGGCAAAATTATGGAATGGTTTGGGTTGGAAAGGACCTTAAAGCTCATCCAGTTCCAACCCCTGCCATGGCAGGGACCCCTTCCACTGGAGCAGCTTGCTCCAAGCCCCTGTGTCCAACCTGGCCTTGAGCACTGCCAGGGATGGGGCAGCCACAGCTTCTCTGGGCACCCTGTGCCACTGAAGGTGCTTTGGGCAGCCAGACCCAGACCTTCTACGGGCGCAGCAGCAGCAGGGGCCAGATCCAAGTGCTCCAGCTGCTGCTGAGCATCAGTCTCATGCAGACACTGAATCCAGATCCTTCAACCCAGCAGACTCACACTGGAAGGGGCTGATTTGCTTTTCCAGGCACTGTCAGGAGTTCTGGGAGAGCCTCCACCACTGGCAGCACTCCAGGGGTGCCCAAAACAGGCAGGGATTGGGCGGACAAAGGCAGAGTTGTGCTGGCGGCATCTTAAAGGGCAGCCTGGCCTGCGGCCCGTCCCCTGCACACCCCAGTTTAGGGTACAGACGACCTTCTCCCCCAGAGCAAAAACTGTTGCAGGAAAGACCCCTATCTGAGGAGGGTCCCTGGGTGAGACCTGGCACTGGGACAGACCACAGCCTTCGGCTCCAGGGGAGCCATGTGGGGATGAGCCTTCACCAAAGAGTCAGAGCCTTCAGATGGTCCCAAGTGCGTGAATGGGGAGCAAGGGCTCCCCCAGGCAAATGTCTATGTGGGACAGGAGGCTGCCCACTGTCAATGCCTGCATCCTCTCCATGCTGTCTCGTCCCTGTCTGTGTCCCCTCCTCACTGCCACCTTCTCACCAGCATGTTCAGGATGGCCAGAACCCCGGCTGATGGCTCCCCTCAGCAGGGACACAGCTCCAGCAGCAGCCAGGCAGGATGGGGCCATCTCCCTGCCACCAGCAAGTGGTTTGCATGGCCCCTGCAGGGTCACAGAATCACAGAACAGTCTGGGTTGGATGGAACCTTCAAAGCTCACCCAGTCCAACCCCCCTGCAATGAGCAGGGACATCTTCCCCTAGATGAGGTTGCCCAGAACCACATCCAGCCTGGCCTTGGATGTCTCCAGGGATGGGGCATCCATCACCTCTCTGTGCAACCTGTGCCAGTGTTTCACCACCCTCACTGTAAAGCATTTCTTCCTCACATCCAGCCTGAATCTCCCTCTTTTAGTTTAAAACCATCACCCCTTGTCCTATCCAAGTTACGTCCTCCAGGTTACAAGGATGTACAGTGAACTTGTGCCCTGCTCAAAGCGGGCACTGACCTTCCTGGCCCCTGCAACACCCCTTCCCTTCCTTCCCTGTTAGCGACTGATGGCACGAGGAGGATCCTGGCAGTCCCAGCTGGGACCAGTGACCTCAATTCCACAGCAGCAACGCAGGAGGGGCTGTGGGACTTGACTTCCCTCCTGCAAAGCAGCCTGAAGGCCAAAGCTGCCTGCACCAAGGGCTCGGCTCGCTTCCCTCCAGGAAGGGTTTAAAAAGGGACAAGCGTGGGAGACCAAAGTGAACACGGTGCCAACTCTGCCTGCCCATGCCCCCCGCCGCCCCGCGGCTCCTGCCTCACTCCGCAAGCAGCAAGTAGAAGGTAGAGAGTGGGACCCCCGAGAGGTCACGGCTGGGGACTGTCTGTAGGAGATCGGAAAGAACAGAACTGAGAAATAAAAACTGGAAATCCACAAAAAGCAAAAGGAAGGGGAATTACTAAAAATAAAAATAATGTAAAAATAAAAAAACCAAAAGAGACAGGAAAAAAATATCCATGTTATGAAAGGCAAAAAATTACAAACTGAAGAGAGGCACAAAGGACTCCAACATCAATGCAACAGCAGAGGCCAGCAGAGAGGAGCACAGCCAGGCACAAACCAGCGATGGTGTTACAACAGCCTCTGCAGAGAGAAAGGGGGTTAACCTGCCACGGGAGCACGAGCATGCACTGCAGGATGCAGGAACCAAGCAGCAAAGGCCTCCGGAGTGGGAAGCCAAAGCCTTCCGCTTCCCCTCCCACTGGGACATGGGGAAGCACTGGTGGCTGAGGGAAGCACAAGTGGGAGGGACAGAGGAAGGGAGGCGAGGGAAGGAAGGAAGGGAAGGAAAGGAAGAGAGAGAAAAGAAGGGAGGGAAGGGAGGAAAGGAAGGGAAGGAGGAAGGGAAGAAAGGAAAAAGGAAAGGAGAAAGGAAAGGAGAAAGGGGAAGGAAAAACAGGAAAAGGAAAGAAGGGAGTGCCTCCATCCCGCTGCCCCTCCATGGCTCCAGCGAGGTGTTCCTGTGTGCCCACAGCCATGGGGCTGGGAGCTCAGAGCCCTGTGCTGGGCTGGCCAGTGGGGATGGGGCATCGCCTGCTGCTGAGAGCAGAGCCGGGCTCTGTGCTTGGAGCAGAGGCATCAGATCTGCATCCCCTATGCGAAATGTGGGGTTTTTTGCTGTACTCCCCCATTTTGCTGGCCAAGCAGCTGAACCAAACACCTTGCTGAAGGAGAGTGAGGACGGTGCGGGTGCCCCCACGGGGCCTGGCATGCAGCACACGCGGCGGCAGCGGGGGGGTGAAGGAGAGAACAGCAGGGATCCAAACCAGGTTAAAAACCAAATACTTAAAATAACAAAATAAACCAAAAAAGAGGTAAAAAGAAAAAGGACATCGACAGCCTCGAGAACCCAAGGCCACAGGGCAGAGAGACAGTGCAAGGCACCAGAGCACATGTGTCACAGGAGACAGACAGACAGCCCCGTGCCGATCAGATACGTCAAATATCACCACTCCGGGACCCTCACTGACCTCTAACTTGTTGCTCCAGGTTCAGTATGACTGATACGGCCTGGTGGAGGATTAGCAGTTTGGTCTGCGGTTTTTCGCTGTTTAGGTGGAGTTGGCACATGCGTCCGAGCTCTTTAAAGGCCTCGTTGATGTCACGGACCCGCAGGCGCTCACGGGCATTATTGGCGACCCTCCTTTCTCTCTCTCTCTCGGCTTTTTGCTCTGGGGGAAGAAGATCGTCCTCCTCATCCTCATCTTGACTAATGGTTTAAAATAAGAACGAGACAGGGACATTCCTCGCGTGCACTCTCAGCACTGGTCAACTCATAGAAAAGCAACACACATCCGAGGCATGACGACACCGAGCGCCAGGAACGCTGCACCCCACGTGTGCTCAGACACAGGGACGCACGGGGTCTTTACACAGAAGCCATTCAGGTTCTTCTTCTGCCTCTGTTTTGGGGTTGGTTTGGTTTTAAACACCACAGAAAGAAACCACAAAGCGACTAAGGCCTGAGCTTGTTGCTGGCAGCTTGGAAGGCGGCCTGGATAAAGTGTAAGGGGCAACACTGGTGTCCCAAGCTGGTGTTTTGGGAAGCTGCAGCCCTCTGCCTCCAGGCCAGGAGGTGGCTGCAGTGTGGAGGAGCAGGGCTGGCACTGCCCCTTTGGGCAGCAGCACCCTGGTGAGGTCTCCGAGCTGATGGTGAGGTTGCAGACAAGCCAGCACGCAGGAAAGACTCACCCTGCTCCGCTGCCACATACCTGACTGGGTGTGACAGAGGATACAGGAGCCCAGAGCAAACAGTGGAGACGACCAAGGGCAGGGAGGAGGTCAAAAGCTTCCCAGCCCCTGGCTGAGGGCAGTTGAGCGTTCGGTCCCTTCCATGCATGGCCACAAGCAAAGCTCCAAGAGAGCACGCAGTGAGTGCAGTTGGTGTGGGTAAAGGCACAAGCCCTCTGCTTTAGGAGCATGAGGAAGCCCTGAGGCCATGGGGATGGAGGCCAGCAGCAAAGGATGGCAGGGCCCCTTCCCCAACAGCGGGAGCCCAGGCTGGGCCACCCCTGTGTGAGGACACTCAAGGCTCCCGTGGTGGGCAGGGGCTGGTGGGTCTGTGCCATAGGATGATCCCCAGCCACAGTGGGCTGAGCCCAGTGCCGGGGGGTCACTATGGCTGCACCCCAGCCCAAATGCTCCCAGCCTGGTTATGTGTAAGTGAAGGGAGAGACCTGTTCAAAGAGCACCTTGTTCTGGTCCTGGAGGGTTTCAGCTCCTTCTTCTCCTCTTCTGAGTTATCTGCCACCGACGTGTTCTCCTCATCCTCCTTCTCTTCCCTCTTTATTTCGCTGGTTCCCGAGGAGACACTGCTTCGCCCCAGCCCCCCTGACAAGCCTGCTGAGGAAGCAGAGCCACACATGGAAGGTTGGAGGAGCCTGACCCACACAGAGGACTTGGGGGGGGGGTCACCAGACCCTGTTCCTGTTGCACTGCATCACCAGCGTGTGGCCTCCCAGCCTCATCCTGCATTGCTGGTCTGCAGGAAGAGGAGTTAATGGGGTGCTGGCTCTGCCCTGCCACCACTCCCTGCTCTTCTCCTCCCCATCTTCCAGGTCCAACCTTGCTCATCAGTGGCTCTGTGCACCCAGAAGGGACAGGAACACTTAGGCTAAACCTCTGGAAAAGGCTCAAGGCTGCAAAGAAGCAGCATCCTTGCAAGAGCACCCATCTCCACCCCTCCCAGGCTGATGCTGCACAGGGCTGGACCTAATGGGTGACCTGAATCTCCCCCCGTGGCAGGGAAGCCCCAAGCGTGCACGTGAGCAGAGCTGCCTTACCGCTGTACGTGTCCTGCTGCCTGCTGAGGTCAGGGAGGGAGCTGGGCTGTGATGGAAGTGTAACGTGGTTGTGGAGCATGTTGGGGTTGCTGGACAACCCATCTTCGGGGTGACCTCCTCCCACCTACAGCAGAACAAGCAGAGCAAGCCTTGAGAGGGGGGAAGCAGCATGGCCAGCAGGGATGGGCACAGCCACTCCGAGCACCTATGCTGAGCAGTTGGAGGTGCAGCCACATGCCCTCCTCACACACTCCCACCATCCAGACTGCAGGCATGCAGGAGGGAAGAGCCAACCTGCTCTGTGGCAGGGGCACTGCAGGTCAGCTGGACCAAGCAGAGAGACCCCATCAGTGCTACCTTCCCCATATGTTTAGTAGCTGAGTCTGGGGAGCTCAGGAGGGAAGCACATCTGGTTCTTTAGAGGGACTGGAGATGTGCTACTGTTTGCTGCAGTAGGAAACCAGCTCTCCTGTGGTCACCAGCCTCTGGACAATGGGGACCCCAGTGACTCAGCGAGGCAGGGACCCCAGCATCCATGTGCTCAAGGCACCCAGGACCTGTCGTGCTCCATGGAGCCCGAATGAGCCATCACACATCAGCAATCCCCATGTGCACAGAAGGACATGGTGCCAGCCTGAATGGTTGGCAGCTGAGAAGTCCTGGCAATACCTGGCTCTCTATACCTGTGCCCTGCCCTGCACCAGATCCCTCTCCTCCTTCCTGCATATCCCAAGGATGGCTTGAAGCTGTTTTGAGAGATTTCCATCCATCTTAGAGGGAAAGAAGAAGAAATTTCACCAATTCTGCCTGTTCTGAGAAGGGGCATGAGCAAGTGGCACGGGGGAGTTTGTGCCCGAGAGCCACCACTGTGCTTGGTGCTGATCCAGCCCTCCTGCATGAACGAGGTGAGACACTGCATGTCACCCGTTCCAAGCTGTCACCAGCTGACCCAACCTGGACCTCACTGAGCTCTTCTCACAACAAAGGCAACAAGGCCAGGTTGGACACAGGGGCTTGGAGCAAGCTGCTCCAGTGGAAGGGGTCCCTGCCCATGGCAGGGGTTGGAGCTGGAGGAGCTTTAAGGTCCCTTCAACCCAAACCACTCTAATTTTCTGCCTCCTCTGGATGCAGGCACTGCACCACACCGGTCCCCAGCATGTCCCTGCCAGCTGCCCCGATGCTTCCACACTTACCAGACTCGGGTGCCTGTTCCCCAGGGACATGACTGAGGCCGGGAAGGCCTGGCCCAGGCTGCCCACGGTGGCACTGTGGGCTGGTGCTGAGCCCAGCAGCCCGTGCATGTCCCCATGGTTGCTTGGCATGGCGGCTGTCTGGCCCACAGCGTGATTCCTCAGCACGTGGATGGCTTCATCCAACCTGTCTTCCATTTTGTTTTGCTTCAAGGACAGGACAGAGATACACAGCTGTGTTAATGCCTGTAAAGGCAGCAGCTCGCTACAGCTCTGTATGCTGGTGGCAGTCATGCACTCAGATACTGCAAGGCAGGGGAGAAACAACCCCTGGGGGAGTCAGTGGCAGCCCCTAAAGACAGAAGGGGTCACACAAGCGGTTGTTCAGCCTGGAGAAGAGAAGGCTCCTGAAGGGGAGACCTTAGAGCAGCTCCAGTGCCTAAAGGGGCTGCAGGAAAGCTGGAGAGGGGCTTGGGACAAGGGCCTGTAGGGACAGGCCAAGGGGAATGGCTTGAACCTGCCCGAGGGGAGACTGAGCTGAGCTCTTAGGCAGAAGCTCTTCCCTGTGAGGGTGCTGAGGCGCTGGCACAGGGTGCCCAGAGAAGCTGTGGCTGCCCCATCCCTGGCAGTGCTCAAGGCCAGGTTGGACACAGGGGCTTGGAGCAAGCTGCTCCAGTGGAAGGGGTCCCTGCCCGTGGCAGGGGTTGGAGCTGGAGGAGCTTTAAGGTCCCTTCAACCCAAACCATTCCATGAGTCTATGATTCTGTAACTACTCAGGAAAGGGAGGCAAAAGCCAGACAGAAATCTATGCAGCTGGGCCAACTCTGTTGCAGTCCCCAGCTCTGCTGCTTCCAACCATGTGTCCATGCATCAACTAACCATCTTCCTAACCAAGCCCTTTACCAGGCATGAACGGGATGGAACAGAAAAGGAGAAGAGAGATCTTTAAGTGACACTTACTAAGGTGTGGAGGCTCCCTTCGTAGCTGGGAGATAAGGCACCCTGTCCGCTTGCCCGTGACCACTGAGATGTGCCTGTGAAGAAACAGGGAGAGCTTGGGATCGGGCACAGCTGCCACTAGATGGGGCTGGGAGCTGGGCCACCATGGCACGTGTGGCACCCCATGGGCCACCACTCATCAGCAGACACTGAGCTCAGGCCCCCACACTGGGCTCATTTCTGCTCTGCATCAGCAGGACACTGAGCTTGGGCCTTCAGACCTCGAGAGGTTTTTAGGTGGGAGTAAGCTCAGCCAGCACAGACGCTCTGCTTGCTGGGAACAGCAGCCTGGGGGTGATGCTGCTCCACACCCCGAGCACTGCGCTGAAAGGAGACCTCTGCCACCAGATGGGAGCAGAGATGGGCTTCCATCCGTTGGCTGCTTCCCACTTCCCACTGCTCTCCTCCCATGGCACACAAAACCATCCGAGATGGGATGCTCAGCATGCTTGGGACAGGGTCGGTCTGAAGGGTAGGAGCAGGTCCCATTGGGTGGCAGCAATGCTTTAACTCAAGCAGAGCTGCCTGCCCCTTATACAGGGGCAAAACACAGTGCAGGTACAGCCGTTTGCCGCAGGCAGGCACTGCTTGGCCCCAAAAAGGGGGAAAGCTAAAATCCACTAAAGCAAACAGACATGTGGCTTCAGAAGGCCATTTAAAGAGCATCTTCCTGTCTGCTTATCCTTCCTCATCACTCCCCTACATTTAAAAATGAAGTGGATTTGGCAAGATTGCCCCAAGTGACTTTGATGAGGGTTTGGGGCTGCTCGGGGGCATGGACCTCTCGAAAGCAAACCTGACACCCCCCTTTGTGCAAAAATCAGTGGTTTTCACCTACCTGCAAGGCCCTGAGGGGAGCCGACCGGTGTGGAGGGGTTTGAGGAGAAGTTATTGCTAGAGTGATCCGGGGAGTAAATCTGGAGTGAGAGAAGCAGGGCCTGGTCAGCAGCACCCACCCTGCCCCAGCTCAGCCCTCCCCAAACCAGGTGCAGCAGGACCACTGAGGGCAGCCCATTCCCAAACCCGCACCCCACAGCTCCCCCAGGAGAGCCAGGGCCCCTCTGTCCCCACTACAGCTCCAGCCTCTGTTCTCTGGGTCTCACCCTGGAGGAAAGCAAGAGCCCCAAGAAATCACTGCAGGGTACAGAAACAAAGGTCCCTGCACTGAACAGGACAGAAGCAACCCCAAGCTCTGAGAGCCCAGTGGGACCAGTGCCCTCCAGTTTGAACTCGCATATGCAGACCCAGCGCTACTGGGACTTGCAAGTCCTGGTAGGAGGGTCATGTAGGACCTGGCCAGACCAGCACCAGGCTGGATGGCTGCAGACCTGGCTCATGGGCAGGGCCACCATGCCTCAGTTTCTCCATCTGCCAAAAAGGGGTATTGCAAAGCACCAGGCCTCAGGATGGCAGCACACTGAGAGGGGAAATCCTCCCCGAGAGGCTGTTTGCCATGCATTCACCCAAACCTTTCAATGTCTCTATGCTGCCTGCTGCCTACAGGTTCCCTCTTACAGAGGGAAGGTGCAGTGCCGCAACAAAGCAGGGACGGGGCCAAGGGGCTGCAGAAGCTCTTACTGATGCTAGTGCCTTCCCGAGCGCGTCTCCTGAGCTCCCGGCTGTGGTTCCTCTGTTACCTGTGGAGAGAGGACACAGACGTCACTGCCAGGACAAGGCACCTGCACAAGACCTTCTCTGGGCTCACCTGCTCTGACTCTTACTGCTTTGCTTGGAAATGAAAGGGATTCCCAGCTCAGAGCAGCCCAAGTGAGGGCACCCCCCCCTCCACCCCAAAGCCTTCCTTGGGCCACAGGAACATCTTTATAAGATGCTGATGAAGGTGCATGAAGGTGCTGAGGGTGTCATGCCATCAACAGCGATGTTTCTGCTGCAGCATGGCCCATATTTCATGGGGCATCTTAAATCTCCACCATCCCAAACTTGCTCTCCCTCCTCTAAACAAGAGGGTTTCTACAAATCAAGGTCAGGATCTTTGTTTCCTAGGGAACAGGAATTCATTCCAGTAACAGGTTCTGTAACAGGTTCAGCAGGGTTAGAGATGAAAGCACTCGGGGGTTTAACACGGTACCCAAACACAACACAAACGCTCCCAGTCTGGATGCAGATGAACACCTTCACACGTTCCCCTGCCTCTCCACAACGCAGATGCAAATCCCACTGCTCACTTGAGCCATGGCACCTCCAGGAGACAGGGTCCCAGATCCTGGTCTCCTCCCAGATCCACCAAGCCAGGTGGAACCCCCAACCCTGTCTCCCTGCTACCTCCTGCCCAGGTATCCAGCAGCAGTAACCTCGTTGTGCCTCTTCCTCAAGCAGAACCCCATGCAGGGTTAAAAAGGGCATGAAGTAAGCGTGTGCATCCATCAGACACAGCTATTGCACAAGACTTTACATCTTCCCCTTAAGCCTCTGCATGGCAGTGGAGAAGTGGGGGGCAGTCATGCTGAGGACCATCCCATGGCCTGGGGCCATTCATACGTACCCATCATGGTGTCCGTGCCACTGATGGGAGGCGTGTGACTGGAGACACCGTATGGCGTGGAGGCAGAGGAGAAGCCAGACACGGAGGGGAGCCCGCCGTTAACCTCTCCTGAATGAAGCTGGTAGTTCTGGCAGAGACAGGAGAGAAGGGTCAGAGCCTCAAGAGGCATCAGCATCCAGGCCAGGACCCTGGTCCTCCCTGTGGGCATCCACCCTGAGCTGCCAGCTCCAGGACAAGGGGACCCGTTGTCACTGGCTACAGAGGGACAGGGGACCCGTGGGGACCCATTACCATGCGCTCATGCTGGTGTAAACTGTTGAAGCCGCTGGCTGGTGGGAGTGGGGAGGAGGAGCTGCCCAGCATGGCACCGTAACTCGACTGGCTCATGGCACCCGGAGAGCTCCACAGGTCTGCTGAGTTATGGAGCCCATCTGCAAGGAAAAGCAGAGCTGAGCAGGGCAGGGATGCTGCAAGTGTTCAACAGTCCATGCAGGGGGAGGGCAGTCAGGCTGAGGGGCTGCATCAGTCCCCATTGTGTCTGAGCATCACCTCCTGAGCACATCAGAGCCATTCCAGGGCTCCTCTGTGGCTCATGCACTCCTGCCCCAAACTCCCTTCATCTCCCATGCTGTGCAGTTCTTCCCACCCATAATGGGCCTGGCAGCCCCTGCTCTGTCCAGCTTGCAGGACACTGGGGTTGTTAATAACTCACCTGCCATATAAAAGGCTCCGGGATACACAGTGCTGGGAGGTTTCGAGGGAGTATATCCAGCTGGATCCCTGCTGTAGTCATCACCTGAGTTGGATGGATACACCTGCAGAGCAGCAAAGAGGTTCAAGAGAAGCCACTCCACAGCCCCACATCCTCCCTATGGGGACAGAGTCAGTCCTGCTCAACCCCTTCACAGAAATCAACCTCTGACTCGAAGGGAAACTGAGGCCTGAGCGGACCTTGGAAGGTTTCTTTGTTTGCACAGAATCCCAGCCTGGTTTGGGTTGAAGGGACCTTAAAGCTCCTCCAGCTCCAACCCCTGCCACGGGCAGGGACCCCTTCCACTGGAGCAGCTTGCTCCAAGCCCCTGTGTCCAACCTGGCCTTGAGCACTGCCAGGGATGGGGCAGCCACAGCTCTTCAGAGCCGATTTTCCTTCTAAATCCACCACCCTCGAAAGCTCTGACTGAAAATCACCTCGTGCCAGTGCAAAAAGCAGAAATCCAGCACGCAAAGAAACTGAAACGCCCCTCAAAATGACACGAGCACTGCTGGTTACACCTTATTTTCATCCCCATTGATTCATTCTGAAACCACTAATAGTGGTTTTTGGGGTTTTTTTTTCCTTCAATACCCACAAAAGCATTGCTCTGCCTGGAAGACACAGCTCTCTGCAAAGGAAACCTGCCCTCAGTTTCTCTTTCCCCACACCCAGCCAGATCCCTCCGAGCTGATGTCCTCCCCCTGCAAGAAGGGGCAGAACTGTCCTCTATTACTGTAACTGCCCAGAACACCAAGAGCTTCTTCTTGGTGGTGGTGCAATAGAAAACAAGCTCTGAAAAGCACCAGCAATTGCACTTTAATACATCATTTCCCCTGGCAGCTCAGGTTCTTGCTTCTTAGAGCAGGTTCCCTCGAAGCTGGGGGTGTACAGAGAGCCCCAAAGGCAACTCCTGCCCCTTGCACTGAGCATCTTTTGGCAGTGGGTGGCTGCAACCATGGTGCATCAAGGAGCTGAAGGCAACTTGTGGGCATCAGAGCTACAGGGAAATGTGTGAAATACAGAAAAGAAAGAACAATTTCTGCCTGAGCAGCAGCTCAAGGAGGGGATCCTGCCCCTCTGCTGTGCTCTGGGGAGACCCCCCCTGCAGCCCTGATCCAGCTCTGGGGCAGCAGCACAAGAGGGACCTGGAGCTGTTGGAGCGAGGCCAGAGGAGGCCATGGAGATGCTGCGAGGGCTGGAGCAGCTCTGCTCTGGAGCCAGGCTGAGAGAGCTGGGCTGGGGCAGCCTGGAGAAGAGAAGGCTCCTGAAGGGGAGACCTTAGAGCAGCTCCAGTGCCTAAAGGGGCTGCAGGAAAGCTGGAGAGGGGCTTGGGACAAGGGCCTGTAGGGACAGGCCAAGGGGAATGGCTTGAACCTGCCCGAGGGGAGACTGAGCTGAGCTCTTAGGCAGAAGCTCTTCCCTGTGAGGGTGCTGAGGCGCTGGCACAGGGTGCCCAGAGAAGCTGTGGCTGCCCCATCCCTGGCAGTGCTCAAGGCCAGGTTGGACACAGGGGCTTGGAGCAAGCTGCTCCAGTGGAAGGGGTCCCTGCCTGTGGCAGGGGTTGGAGCTGGAAGAGCTTTAAGGTCCCTTCAACCCAACCCAGGCTGGGTTTCTGTGGAATAAAGAGAGGGGGAAGGGAAAATCCTGACAGACGCTGGCAGCTGCCTCCATCCCTTGCTCACAGAAGAAACCCCACATCCCTTGGCCCTCGTGCACCAGTGCAGGGCAGCGCTCGGGTGAGGTGGGCGCAGGGAGCCGCATGCGGGCACCACGTGTGGCCGGGGAGAGCAGGGGAATGGAGGAGGCCGCAGAGAGGACTCCAGTAAATTGCCCTTTCCTATCATTTGATTAAATGGCGGGAGCTGGGACTGGGAATCGACTGGAGCACGTCTAATAGCCCCGCGCCATCTGCCAGTGCCTGGCTCCCGGCCAGCGCGCAAGGCAGCTGTGCTGGAGCAGGGAGAAGGGGGGGACATGCACACACACACACACACACACACACACATCCATTTCATCCATCCAGAGTGAAAATGAGGAGAATAAAACAGCAGGGATGAGCAAAACAGGGGCTGCAAACCACTCGGGAGCTCGCTTTGCTGTGTTCTCTTCATTACCCCTGCGTCTTCCCCCATCTCCTGTTGGATGCGGGAGGGAAGGGGCAGGTTTCACCCCAGAAACAGCCTCTGGCCCCTCCAAACCCTTCATTTCCCCGCTCAGCGCAGAGCAGGGTGCACAAAGCCACCTTAGCTCTTCCCGGAGCATCCCCAGCCCCACGTGCGTGCCTTGGGAGCAGCCAAAGCCGGCGGCCGGCGGCCAAACGCTGCAGGAAGCGGTAAATCAGCAGCGCCAGGGCCCTGCTCCTGCTCCCCACCGCGCGCCCCAGCTCTGGCAGCAGCCTCAGGGACCTCCAGGTGAGGTCATTTCCTCCGCTCGGAGCTGCCAGCACGGCCAGAGAGCGGCTGGAGCAGCCCCAGCGCCGGGATGGATCCGCAGGGCTCTGCGGCATCCTCCATCCCCCATCCCCTTCCCCGGTTTTCAAGCTTAAATGGATGAACTGGGGTGGGACCTGGAGCAGAACAGAGCGGGGAGCAGGCTGGGGGTTCACTTACAAGCACCATGCACGCTGCAGGAACCAAACCCTGCAGGAATCGACCTGCACAAAACCCCTCTCCTGGCTTCCTCCGGCTGCAGCGGGGGCTCGGGGGCCTCCATCCAGCCCTGCACACACCAGCCTGCGGGAAGCACAGGCTCAAGCGCTCCCCTTTGTGGCTGCCCATGGCAGGGAGGCTCGAAGGAAGGGGCTCCGTGCCCAGGGGCAGCCCCAGCATGAACTGCCCCAGCCCAGCAGCTGTTCCACAGGAGCTCACCCCAAAGGGCCAGGCACAGGCTCTGCCCTCCCTCCCCAGCAGCGCCTTCACATCCCCAGCACAAAGGCTGGGGGAGACTGGATCGAGAGCAGCCCTGAGGAGGAGGGACTGAGGGTGATGAGAAGCTCCCCATGACCTTGAGCCCAGAACCCCCCCGTGTGCTGGGTGCACCCCCAGAGAGTGAGCAGCAGCTCAGGGAGGGGATCCTGCCCCTCTGCTGTGCTCTGGGGAGACCTGAGAGCAGCTCCAGTGCCTAAAGGGGCTGCAGGGAACCTGGAGAGGGGCTTGGGACAAGGGCCTGTAGGGACAGGCCAAGGGGAATGGCTTGAACCTGCCCGAGGGGAGCCTGAGCTGAGCTCTTAGGCAGAAGCTCTTCCCTGTGAGGGTGCTGAGGCGCTGGCACAGGGTGCCCAGAGAAGCTGTGGCTGCCCCATCCCTGGCAGTGCTCAAGGCCAGGTTGGACACAGGGGCTTGGAGCAAGCTGCTCCAGTGGAAGGGGTCCCTGCCCGTCGCAGGGGTTGGAGCTGGAGGAGCTTTAAGGTCCCTTCAACCCAAACCAGGCTGGGGTTTTATCATCCCTCTTTACCCATCTCATACCATCAGTGCCTCTTGGTGACTCTGGCACAATCACCCCCATTTCAGCACCCTCAACTATTCCAGCCACTGACCTCGGTGAGTTTTTCCAAGCAGCCAGGGAATTACACATTAAAGCACTTTATTTTAATAAGATGCTGATTAACCTATTTATTTTGCATGGGGCCCAGTGATAACACGGGGCAGGCTCCTACGCAGGCAAGTGGGACAAGAAAGAGCCTTTGATCTGCTGCCTTTGAGGCCTGCAGCTCGGATCTACGCTTCCCTAGCTGCATCCATGAGGATTCCTCTGCCCAGGTGTGGAAGTTCAAACACAAACCAAGAAGCAACCAGAGGGCAGAGGGAAGAAGCAGCCCTGTGGTCAAGGGATGGCTGAGGTGACAGCCAGTGCTTCCTGAGCTGGGAAAACCAGTGTGGAAGTGGTGGCTCCAGCATGGAATGGGATGAGTTTTGGCAGAGTGGTTCTTGCTGTGAGAACTGGGGCCCTTGAGGGCACAGCCAGGACAAGGGGCAGCTCTCCCCATGGCCTTTGAAACCTGAGGCCAAACAAGGGCCATTTGTTGGGAGGGATGTTTTCCCCACATGTCAACTGGGCTTTAAAAGCTCCACATTTCACAGGGAAACTCGACCCAGTGATGACAGGGATTGTGCTTCAAGCAGGTTTCCCCTCTTCAAACACAGACTCTTGAAGCAACTCAGCACTGCTGGCTGGAGTCACTTCTGTATGATGTGGGTCTGTGTGAACCCATCACCACTCTGAGCCCAATCTGGCACGGCCTCGGTGACCTCCTCTCCCTCCATCCTCCCAACATCAGCATCTCAGGGTCACACAGAATCATGGAACAGTTTGGGCTGGAAGGGACCTTAAAGCTCCTCCAGCTCCAACCCCTCCCACGGGCAGGGACCCCTTCCACTGGAGCAGCTCCAAGCCCCTGTGTCCAACCTGGCCTTGAGCACTGCCAGGGATGGGGCAGCCACAGCTTCTCTGGGCACCCTGTGCCAGCGCCTCAGCACCCTCACAGGGAAGAGCTTCTGCCTAAGAGCTCAGCTCAGTCTCCCCTCGGGCAGGTTCAAGCCATTCCCCTTGGCCTGTCCCTACAGGCCCTTGTCCCAAGCCCCTCTCCAGGTTTCCTGCAGCCCCTTTAGGCACTGGAGCTGCTCTAAGGTCTCCCCTTCAGGAGCCTTCTCTTCTCCAGGCTGCCCCAGCCCAGCTCTCTCAGCCTGGCTCCACTGTTTGCCTCCAGTGTCCCTCTCCTAGGGCAGAGCCTGTTGTAGAGGCTGCAGACCAGGCTTTGTGCTACCAGCAAGTGAACCCCACAGCATGAAGCTTCCCCCATGTTGGATGGACACACAGGGGAGTTCCCTGGGGAACGGGCACATCAGATCACCATTGGCAGCGGGTGCTGTGGCCCACTTGGGAGAGGGCAGGTCTCCAGCACAGCCCCAGCCCGGGCTCCATGTGCCTGCGGGACAGAGCCTGCCCGTCCCCCTGCAAGCACGCAAACGCTCCGGTGAGGAATGCATCCAGACGCAGGCCTGCAGGAACCCTCCAGCCCGCTCCAATTAGCTTTCCTGGAGATCCCATTACTTGTAGCCACAAAGACATTGTTCAGTTTCTTCCCCTGTAACAGCCGCGGGAGCATGGCTAACATATTCCTACAGGCTGCTCGGCTTTCCTATAAAACAGCCCCGGCAGCGCACACACCTGGAGCAGCCCCGGCTCCCTGCCCGCCTTCCCACTGCTTTGGTTTCCCTTCTGGAGTGAAATCTGAGCACACCAAGGATTACATTTTACTCCACGACCTAACGTCAGAAAGACAAGAGCCAGCAAAGGGCAGGAGGTGCTCTGGGGAGTCTGGGCTCCAGATGGGGAGATGCCACCAGTGGCTGCTCCACACGGGAAGCATTGAAGCTCCTTCACTCCTATTAATGTGCTGGTACTGCAGTCCCACAGTGCTTCCCCATTTCTCCATCACAGGAAGCTGGGAAAACCCTGCCCCATCGTACTAAAATCCAAGGCCTTGATGCTGGGGGTGGCTGGACCTGCAGCTCCCATGGCAGAGCAGGGACACCCAGGGGATGGAGGAACAGAGATCCCTGCAGGGAAAATGCTCCTGCCACTTACCGAGGAGGGGAGTCCAGGAGGCACCTTCCGGACCTTTTTGGGCTGTCCATCTGGTGTAGATAAAAGAAGAGAGGATCTCATTACTGCAGGCGGTTAGTGGGAGGGAAAATAACAGCAAGCTAAAAGTATGCAAGGATGGAAGGTGCAGCTACAGGCAGAGCTCCAATCCCAAATGCCCCATAGCCAAAGAAGCATCACCAGTGAAAACGTCTGAGGATGAACCTCTCCTCCTCACCTAGTGTGCACCCTTTGAAGGTGGGTTTCACCCCACAACATGTGCTCAGGGCAGCCCCTTCCAAAAGAGGTGCTCACTGTGGGTTTCTTAGCTTACAACTCAAGAAAGCCACAGCTAAGGAGGTGCAGGTACCACCAAGCCAAGCAGGCATTCGACCGGGTTGTAGCTCAGGAGGAGAAACTCATCACACAGAATGACCCGATGCAAAAGACCAAGTTTCCAAGCTGCCACCATAAACCAGCAGTGTTTTGAAGTGGTGATATCAAAGTGGTTGCCTTTTTCTGAACAGCACTGGAAAAAAAACAGATGTAACACCAGTCGCTTCTGGTTTCGTTTGGTGGGGAAAGCCCAAAATAGCAGCAAGAAAGTGACTCTGGAGGGGGAACTGTGACAAGAAATACAAGTTCTGGAGAACGGGGGCTTGTCTTCACTTGAAAGCTGAACTCAACACCTGACCTTAGCCTGTGTTCAAAGCAAAGAGGCTTATGGGCAAAAAGAGGCTTGTGGGCAACTCCTGCTCTGGAACAGGGCAGGAGGCAGGTAGGCAGGGAGAGGTCCTGGAGCAGACGCTGCCCATGTCCCTGGGCGCAGTGCCTGGACCTCCCATCTCTCCTTAATGGCTTTTTCCTGGCAGTCTGGTTCCTTGCAGCAGGACAGGGCTCCAGGGAGGGCCATTGGCCATGAAACCAACCTTGAAGGCGGCCCAAGGTTTTCCATGACCAACTGCTCATGTGCAGTGTGGCTCAGGGGCAGTTTTAAAAGAACCTCCATCCATTCGCTGCTTTCACCTCCTCTGACGTTATCCAGGAAAGGGGGAATTTGACACGATGCAGAGCCCAAACCCCTTTTAAAAACACCCCATCTATATTCACATTATGTATGAATTCATCAGGCCACGCTGCGGCACGAACCGCAGCAGCAGCATCCGAGGGCAACACGAAGCGACTTACCTATGCTGCTGTCAGCACCTCTCCTGCGAGGGTTGTTGGGGTAAGAAAAATACTGGGAGCCCCCTTTCACCCCAGTGGGGGAGAGCGTGCTGGGACTGGCGATTCCCATCTCGCTGGGCAGGAAACCGGTCTGCAAACAGGAGACAGAAAAAGCCCTGCTATAATCAGGCTGGAAAAGCATAGCGCTCACTGGGGGAGACCAGAGCTCCCTTGAGCCACCTTCCAACAGCGGAGGGGGGGAAAACCAGAGGAGCCAAGGGGCCAGATGGAAAAGCAAATACATGAATATGGGGGTGGCAGTGGGGGAGTACATGTGCAATAAGAAAGGGTTTTCAAGCTGTGTTTTCTCACTGGACCCCAGGAAGGAACCTCTCCACCACCCAAGGATGCAAGCCAACAGGCACCATAGTGTGGAGCAGATCAGTCCCCAACAGGGCAGGACAAGGCTCTGCCTTTGACTGATGGCCCCAGCCTGCTGAAGGCACAGAGGAGGTGACCACCAGGTTGGGGGGGCTCATTACACAGTGCTCCCTGGCTGCCCCATGGCCTCACTGAGGACAAAACTCAACCAAGGTTTTACAGCAGAGGATTACACTGGGCTGCATCCCCAGAGTGTGGGGCAGGGGAGTTGGAACTGGATGAGCTTTAAGGTCCCTTCCAACCCAAACCATTCTGTGATTCTATAATTACAGGTTTTGGTGTGCTTTGGCCCCTGTGGGGACACACCTGATGGTCACAGCATGTCCACCCATCCTCAAAAGACAGGTCTGACAAGCGGCCCCATGCTGTCCATCACCCCCATAACTCATCAGAGACCTGGCCAGGGCTGAGGACCGATGCAGAGCTCACCCATCAGCAAACTCTAAACCAGTTGCAAGAGACAGGCGCAGTTACATGGCAGCACCCATCGACTCAGCCTGTCCTGGTCCCCAACCCCAGCCCAAGGTGCTGGCACTGATGCTTTCTCCCCCATCCCCAGCATCTCGCAGGCAGATCCATCATGAATGATGCGAGGGAGCTGCAATGCTTCTGCTGCAGGTGGTTTTCTCTTGCCTTTTATCAGGGAAAAGTCAAACCCCTCTTTCTGAAAAGAGGAAACTCCTCCCTCGTGTTTATCCCAGGTGACCTTGAGCTCCCAGTGTGGAGCCAGAGCCCAGGGTGATTGCTGGCTCCTGAAGCAGAGCAAGTATGGCTTTCCTATGGGAGCAGCCCAACGGCATTGCCCCTTTCACCTTGGGAGAAAGTAACATGTATTTAATGGAATCAGAGAGCTGGCAAAGGGCCTTTCAGCATCAAAAGCTCAGCTCTGACCCATCTTCCAAGGGCAACCCGCTGAAATAAAGGAGGATTTCAGGCTTTGGGGAAACTGGAAAGAAAACTCCATGCTTTCAACTCCCCCGTCTCCTCCAGCAAGGGGCTGGGAAGGGAAAGAGGAGCTCGTGTGTTCACAGCTGGTGAAATTCCTGCAATCTGTTCCACCGGTCAGATTACCTTTGCACCGAAACCGCTCCGCACAGCGGAGCAGCACAGCCAAGAAAAGCAAGAGACACAGCACCCTGGAGGAGATCCCAGAGGAATGCCGGCTCCTGCAGCAGGTATCTCCAGAGAAGCATGGAGATAGTGAGGCAGTCTCCTGGAAAAAGGGATTTTCTTCCCGTTCCCTCTCCCTGGGGATGCCTCCAGAGATGGTTATGGGGTAAACAAGCGGGGAGCTGCAGCTCTGCCCTGGACGAGGGAATTTTGGGGAGCACCAGGGACAATTTCCCAGCTCTTTTCAGACAGAAAAAAGGAACAGGTCACCCCCAACCCATCCTCCCCCCCCCCCAAACTGGAGACAGAAGCAACAACTGTTCTAAGGGCCCAAGCAAGCGTGCAGACGGCCCCGCTCGCCTCCCAGCACCCCACACAAGAGGGGTTTTGTCTCCCCTCCGCATCAAACAGGCTCCATCTCCCACCCTGCCACCCGATCCAGACCCATGCGCCCACTGCAGGGCCTCTCCCAGGCTGCAGCAACATTTGCCCACCCCATTTCTGTTACCTCCCATCTCCCCCCTCCTCCCCAAAGCCCAGCAAAACCGTAACATTCAAAAGGAAGGCTTGGCATCCGTCCCATTCTTGGGTTAGCAGCTTCAGTGCTAAATGAAAGCCACTCTGGTCCAGCCAGCCAGCACAGCTGCTCCAGCAAAGGAAACATCCTCAGTTCAGAGAAGAGGAAATCATGACGAATTTGTGTGAAATTAAAACATGTAATATGTGTGTGTGTGTGTACATGTATCAAGTAAAAAGCTGTCCGGCCAAAGAGCTGCTCCCCTGAATAAAATGGTGGGACTGTTGCCCTGGGGCAGCTGCAGCAGCACATCAAAGCAGAGGTGCTCGCTCCTTCCCAAAGAAACTATTTCTGGATGCTGGAAGCAGCAAACTGGATTTATCTCAGGGCTGGTCAATTGCTTTCCTGGGCTCTGATTTATGCCTGGAGTATTCCTGACAGGAAGCAAGTTTTGACCCTGGTTATCCTGTTGGGGTTCACATGGGGTGATCCAACAGGGCAAGGTTGTTGCTGCTAAAGGCTGTGTCCCTCTCTGTTGTTGAGATGAGCATCTGCTGCAGGCCCTGCGCTGACAGAACGATCATAAAACTGAAAGACTGCCTGTAATCCATCCCTTTATCCATCCATTACGCTCCATTCCTGGCAGTGCTCAAGGCCAGGTTGGACACAAGGGCTTGGAGCAAGCTGCTCTAATGGAAGGGGTCCCTGCCCGTGGCAGGGGTTGGAACTGGAGGAGCTTTGAGGTCCCTTCCAACCCAAACCAGGCTGGGATCCTATGATTCTATCCACACCAAGATGATGTTCCAACAGCATGGAAACCATGTCACAGACTCTCCCTCCCTGTAACTGGTGAATGTGGGGACATGGAGATGCTGGCTGGGGAGGAAGAGGTGCACACCAAGCGTGATACTTGGAGGCAAAGTGAGAGCCTCAAGGCAGGCAGCTGGAAGGAGAAGGTGCCTCCTGGAGTGCTCCTCTGCCCACAGCCACCCTGGCACAAGGAGAAGTGCTGTGTGGATCTGACTCGCTGACAGTCCTCAGAGGGCAGTGTGGCTGGGTCCTATCTGATGAAATACTCATCAGCTAGGAACAGGAATAACAGTAATGACAGAAGTGAGCTTGAAGAGGTTCTGGAAAGAACTGAGAAGCTGCTGCAACTCCATTTCTAACCTCTGACAACTCCCCTGAGCCAGCAACGCACGCCTGAATAAACTGCTGATACCCAACAGACCTCTCTGAGCACAGGAGAGAGGCGAGATGCAAACCCTCAGGTTGCTTTTTATCCCCAACTTGGCTGGATGAGGTACCAGGGAGCTCTTCCCTGTGAGGGTGCTGAGGCGCTGGCACAGGGTGCCCAGAGAAGCTGTGGCTGCCCCATCCCTGGCAGTGCTCAAGGCCAGGTTGGACACAGGGGCTTGGAGCAAGCAGCTCCAGTGGAAGGGGTCCCTGGCAGGGGCAGGGGTTGGGACTGGATGGGCTTTAAGGTCCTTTCCAACCCAAACCCATTCCATGATTCTATGATAAATGAAGCAAAAAATACATTTTATCCTTACCTGGTTTAGTCCTGGCATCCCTGTGTCCCTTCCAAACGTGGAGTACGAGGTTCTTTCACTGCTCTTCCCTACAGTGGAGAAAAGACAAGGTTTTGTGTAAGAGGGAAGGGGAGATTTTGCAGGCATCCCTCCCTCAGGGTATGAATCCTGCCCTTGGAATCCTTCCTCTGCCCATCTGCAGAGGTTGCTGCCTCCAGGAATAGCTTGTTGCTAAACCAGGAGCACCCTTCCAGTTCACGGGCAGCAGAGCTGGGCTGCTCCATAAACAGCAAAACCCCCAACTGCAGCGCTGCAGGGAAGTGCTTGTGGCCATGGAAACTGGCAGTGTTTGACCAGAGCCACCAAATCCCTCCAGATACACTCCAAAAAGCCAGCCGAATTTGGCAGAGACGGTGACAGAGCAACCCAAAAGCCAGGTGGGAGTGACCAGGCTCCACGGGCGCATTCCATACAATAGGAAACCTAATTCCAGCAGTGCGTGGTGCCGAGCTCCGTACAGCACAGGGATCACCTTCCCCTTCCAACTTTCCAAACCCCATCCAGATCTAAAGAGCAGGCACTCTATAGAAAAGCATTTCCTTCATTTCCAAGCCCCCTCCATCAGGTCCCACTGGGCAGGCTCCTCCTGGACCACAGGGCTCCATAGGCAGAGCATCCCAGGATGCAGACCCACGTGCCACAGTGCTCGCACGTGAACTTCTGCACCCATCAAACGTGCTCCCCAGCACCCTGCCCACACACTGCTAAAACCGTGTCTTCAAGGGGGGAAAAATAAAGCCAGAAACCCAAAGCACATGGTGAAGTGTTTCCAGTCTGAAATGGCCTTGCAGTCACTGCCCCAGAGCGTGCTGTGGGCTCTGGCAAGCAGCACCCATGGATTCCAGGGTGGTTTGGCACCCCAGGGAAGGACCCCAGCACACGGAGAAAGGGACTAGAATAGTTCCATGCTTTGCCTGGGAAGCACAACAGTGTGCTTTGGGGTTTCCCCACCCACCCCCAAAGCAAAACCAGACACTTCTCCAGTGGGGAAGCAGCTCTTTTATATTTAAAATCAATAAATAAATTAAACCCAGGCTGAAAATCTATGAGGATATTTTATATATCCCCCCCCCGTTAATTACAGTCTATTAATGATGCCACCATGGAAAGGAGGGAAGAGAGAGATGGGAGATGATGACTGAGAAGGATTTTCACCCAGGGCAGGATGGTCCCGCTCCATCAGCAGCCCAGTGCCAGTGTGGGGGCCACTGCCTGTGATGTGGTTGGGAGATGCTGGGCTCTGCCACCCCCTCCCTGGAAAGAGGCGGTCGCATCCTGCCTCTGGTCTGGCTCAGTAAGCAAAATTGGGAGCGGGGAGGATTCTACCAGTCTGCTTAAGCTAAAGCCATCACTGAAGCCTGCCAAGATGCAGGTTAATGCACTGGGGTGATGCTTGGGCTGGCAGGAAGCTCCACGCACCATTAAAGGGTTTTGGGGAGCAGATGAAGAGGGGAGGAGGAGCAGGTTTCCCCAGAGCAGTCCCTGCTGAAGCACAGGGCAGAGGGATGGGAAATGAGAGGGGACTGCATGGTTTTCCAGCCTTAGTACGGGGACCTTAAACTCAACCCTAAATTTCAGTGGGTTCCCTCACTATAACCCCAAACCTGAGACACCCCCCCCTTCCCAATGGTGCTGTTTTGTTTTGGAGGCTTAAACGTTAAGTAAAGGTCAAAATGTCAGAGGCTGGATCTCCCATATGACCTCCTTTCTAAAAGAGCTTAGCAGCAGCTCTGCCTGCAGCCGGCAGCGGGACACCAATCCCACAGCAGGCTGGGGATGGTGATTACTCCTCAAGCAGAGGAAAAGCAGGGCAATGCCATGCTGGTTTAGCTGGTCAGCAACAGCCAGGCCTCCTGTTTGTGAACACACTGACCCTTCAGTGCGTGGTTTGAGTGGTGAAGCACTGAGGCAAACACCTCTGCTGGCACCAGTTCTCCCAGTGACCACAGGAAGGTGAAGAGTCACAACCCAGTGCCAACTCTGCACCATAATGCTCCAAAACCCACTACCTTCATGGATCAAGGAAGGCATCATGGAATGGGTTGGGCTGGAAGAGACCTTAAAGCTCACCCAGTTCCAACCCCCTGCCAGCTCTTTCTCCTGCTCTGCTGCTTTCAAACCCTGCTCAATGAGCGCTATTCCAGCCTCTCTCCTCTTCCTGCAGGATCTGGAGATCTCAGATGAAGCCTCCCCCAGACCCACCTAGAACCCTCCCACATCGTTTGTGCTCTCTCCCCCCCAAAGGTAGATTTGCTTCTGGGCTTGCAGACAAGGTGATGGAATCGAGCCTCCTCTTTCCTGAGGTTGCTGCCAGCTCCAGCAGTGATGGGGTTTGGCCTTGGTGCCCAGGACTATGGCAGCATTTCACCAGGACTCTTGGGGTTTTGCCTTTTTGCTCCCCAAGATGTGTACAAAGAGCCAAGAAAAGATGATTCATCCCTTCCTATGGGATTTGCCAGCTCCTGCTGGGAGGATGCAAGTGCTCAGCCATGGCACAGTGCCCTGTGCTCCCCCAGGGAGGTCACACCATTGCCCCCATTGCCCCATCCCCAAGCAGAGCCCTGGTGCAGCCCCAGCACACACCACCCCAGCCATGGCAGAGGGAATTCCATGAGAGGGAAAAAGGGGAGGAAGAGCACACCTCCAGACTGAAAGAAGAAGTTTAAAGCCCAGGAGCAGCAACCAACCCCAGTGCGTGGGCAGATTAAAACCATTGTCCAGGCAGCACCGCATCCACATCTCACAATGCACACAAGATTAGAAACACTCCTCTGAAAAGAAGCTAATTACTTGAAATAATTACTAGAAAGAAATCTCTTCTGGCTTATCACTTTCCTGGTGTTCAAGCAATTCCCCCCCCTGAAGATGAATGGTAAAAGAGGGGTAGATTTTGAAGGGTGGTGACTGAAAGCAAACACAACATAAGAGAATCTCCCCTCTGGCAGGTTAAAGCCATTCCCCTTGTCCTGTCCCTACAGATCCTTGTTGGAGAATTCCTCCTCTCCCTCTGGGATGAGCTGGTTCGTCACAGCACCGCGCAGCCAAGGATGCTCAGACCTCATCAGGAGGAATAGGAACGGGCTTCAAGGTCCCTTTCAACCCAAATCATTCCATGATTCTGATATGATTCAATCACTGCCTCACATACCTTCTGTTCACTGAGTACCACTGGACACGTCCATTCTGATCTGCTCCTTTCATGTGCTCACATTCCAAAATTCACTGCTTCTGCTTTAATTCACCCCATTCCAGTTTATGAACAATGGGATGAGGCCTGAGCCTCTCCTGGCTGCTCCCTCCCTCCTCCCCAGCTCCAGTTTGGGCAGTGGAGCTCCCAGTGCTGCACCCAACCGCTGTGCACTGGCATGGGAAGATGGAGTCCCAGCAGGCACTGGAGCCAGTGGGGAATCACCCACTGGAGCAGCCGAGGGCTGGCTCCATGTGCCGGGGACTGCCTGGGCTCACAGCCTTGCTGGGGAGTGCCGCAGCACTTGCCAAAGACCGGGAGCCCTGGCTTTGAGAGGAAGCCAAACACGTCTTCCCTGCACACATCAAAGGGGAAACCTCTGTGCTCCTCCCCAGGCAGCTCCTTCTCAGCTGGAAACTCTTCAGGCTGCCTTGGCCTCAGGTGTGGGACAGGTTGGGATGGGTCCCCCCACGCACACCCCCATTAAACCACGCACAAGTGCATCAAGGCTGCCCTGTCTTGCTAAGAAACATCTCTTCTGCTTCGCTCACTTCCTCCTGGGGCAGAAAATGAGAAGGAATAACCACCCTTGCAGAGGGACAATGGGGAAGCTGCTGGGAAATGCTCTTCTACACTGGAGCAGGATCCCCAAGGGGCAATTAAACATCATCCTCCCCACCAGCAAGAGGAGAGCAGAGCTGCGAGTGAGCCCAGGAGCATACACACAGGGGCTACCCACTCCCCAGCACAACCCTGCTCCTCTCTCCTCCCTTCTGATCAGCTCTACAGGAGGAACCACCACGTATGGTGGGGACTTTGTGTGTCAAACACAAGTCCCCCTTTGAACCCCAACCTTCAAACCGCCAGCACACAGCAGGAGCTGCAGGGCCCTGCCCCAGCACTGCTCCTATACTCACCGGAGGGTTTTAACCACCACAGTGCGGGCAAAGGTGGGGAGGACTAACCCCAATTCCTGCCCTAATGTCATTAGAACTCTTTAAGCCCTTCAGGATGGGTATTTTCTGCTCTCAATCTCCCCTCCCACCCCCGAGCTGCAAGAGGTAACTGGGTAAAGTGTCGCACGCATCTGGTCACACACAATCACCATCACTTGCTGGTCTCTGCAAGCTCCCCATGCTGCCCAGTTGCAGCAGGGGATGGAGGAGCCAGACGGGGCTGCCAGAACCTTGCAGGACACAAGGAGAGACCCTACAGAACCCATTCCAGCTCTCTGTGTTACCTGCACTGCTGTGGGGCTGCAAGGCTGGAAAGCAAAGCAACCATGAGCTTCTTGCACTATCTTTATCGATTAGCACATCTTTTCTCCCTCTCTCTCCCAGTGCTGCTTCACCAGCTCCCAAGAGCAAATTCAGTCCATCCCATGCCAGCACAGCAGGCATCAATCTACACTATTGCCCCTGGGTGCTACTGTAAAGTTGGGGATAATAACCACATGCATAAAATATGGTGGTACGATGAGACCCCCTTTAACCACAGCTTTGAGAACACCTTCTGGAGCAGGTCCAGCATAGGGGAAGAGCAACCCTGGCCAGTGCAAACACTCCCACTGCCCCATGCCATTCCGTGTTGGATTTCCCCTGCTTTGACCACGCTGAGCAGCTGAGATGCACTTACCCACGAGTCCAGCTCCCAGGAATGGTGATGAAGATATGCTGTTGTGAGGCGGCAGGTCCCTGTGCTCGCCGTAGTGGGGGCCTTCACCATAGCTCTGCTGAAGCAACACAGGAGAGTTACTGCGAGCCCCAAAGCTGTCACAGCTCAGTCTTTCCCATAGCAGGAAGGGTCAAAGTCAAAGGCAGAGAAACAATCTTATCCTCATGGCAAGGCAGGGCAGGGTGCTGCAGCCACATGGTCATGGCACTGGGAGAGGATACGGCATCACAGCCATAAGGGGACTGCCCCACGCTGACAGCTCTCAGGCAGTTTCTGCCTTGGCCAAGCTCAGCACCCCCCAGGTTAAGAGCCAGGCAGCCCCTGCCCGAGCGAGGAGGAGGCAAAGTGGCAAAGAGAAGGCTCATAAAATGAGAACTGACACCAGAGCCCCTGCTCCAGCACTGATCTAAAGGAAGGGAAATGTGCCATTGCAAAAACGAATCACACAAACCCGTTAAAACATGAGCATCTGTCAAAATAACACCACTTCAATTCAGTGGATGTTTTCCTCTCTTCCCCTCCTCAGTTACATGCTGTTGCAGCCTCCCCTGTGGAACCCTTCTTGTGCTCTCCATCCCCACTGAGGGCTCCCAAAGCTGTGCATAGTGAACAAGCTTTGCCCATGGTGAGATCCAGATGTCCAAAATGGGGCAGGAAAAGCTGTCCCAGGGTTAGACCCAACCTAAACGTGCACTGAGAAGCCCTGGTAAAGCCCCTGTTTATTTTGGTTGGAGCTCTGTGTTTGGACTTCATCCTTACCCTTCCTTGGTCAAATGTGGAGCTGTTTTGATCTCCCGTTCCCCAGGAACCTGATCCCGGTCTTTCATCCAAACCTACCGAAAAACAGGAAGAACAAAGGTTACTCTTGCTTTATCAGCAAAGCCTCAAAGGTGTTCTCACAAAATTAACTCTTCCTTCTACAAACAAACCAATGTTTTCATGCATAAACCACTTCCACTTGGTGTGACCGAGCCTTCCCTCTCCCTCCTCACCTTCCCACTCTGGCTGGCAGTTTATTCCACAAACTTCAAAGCAAATCCCACCACAAAGCAAATTCCAGCCCAGCCTGGAAATGCTTCAAAACACAGGACAGTGGGAAGAGAAGAACCAAGTATTTTAACCCACTTCATTGCAGAGAGCACCCATGACACTCTTCTCCCTGGAGACCAATGGTGAAGAGGACAATGAGTTCAAAACTCACTGCACCCATCCCAATGCTCCAGTGGGACCTGATTTTTGCCCTTGGTGCTGCCAGGTCATGGAGCAGCCTCTGTTCTTCATTGCACCCAAGTAGATTAAAGAGCACCCAGAGCTGAAAGCCTTGAATGGGAATTGCTGGAGGTACAACGCTGCCTATGGCTCGGACACACTCCTTCAAGGGCATTTGTTATTTAAGCCCCCGTGGTCCCCCAGAGGAAGGTACACTGTCAGCATGGGGCGCATCAGAGCATGGCTGCTGCTCATCTCAGTTTTAGCCCTCCCAAGCATATCCTGGGCAAAGGGGACCCAACCCAGAATGGCAAGAGACCAAAGGGGAGGGTTTTGCAATGCGCTTGCACGCAGACTGTGTAGGAAATCATCTCCTTTCATCATGTGCCAGGTCCACCCAGGCTGCGCCTCTCGGGCTGCGAGCGCACGAGGCACCCAGGGGACATGGGGAACACCCACCAGGACAAGGAACAAGGCAGTGAGTGGCAGCAGCAGGGCTCTGGCAGCTCAAACTGGGACCACAACTGCATGGAGGGCACCTTTGCCTTCAGACAAGCCCTGACAACTCGGCAGCAGGATTGCAGACCGTGCTGCTCTGTCCCTGCTGCCCTGGGTGGGTGAGCAGGGGTCAGTGAGTGGCAGCTGGCATCTCCCTGTTCACATCAATGGGGGTAAAGCCAGGGATTTAAGAGGGAGCCCGGCAGGGCATGGGCATCACTGCACCCTGTGGCTGGGCTCTGCGCATGCTACACAGATACCGAGAGCTCAGCCAAGGACAAACCCCACATCTGCAGGAGGCTGAGCAGCGTGGATGGCATCAGCCAGAGCCACGTCCCTGCCTCATCCCACCGAACCCCAACCCTGCTGGAGGGGGATGCAGCCACATCTGCCATAGGGTGGCACGAAAAACCTTTTGCAGAGGCTGCAGGCAGCATCCAGCATCCCCCAGTACTCCCCAGGGACCCCTTCCAACACAGCAAAGCACCAGTAGCTGAGGTGCCCACAGGGCATAGAGGAGATTCTCCTTTAGGAGCAGAGCCCTGCGGGCAGCAGTGGTGACAGCAGAGGGATGGGAGGGTGGCAGGACAGGAGCAAGGACATGGAGGGGGCAGGGTTGCAGGGCACACACCAATTCCAGTTTAGCAAAGCTGATTATTATGGCAAACACGCCGTGGATTTGTCTCCTTCACTCCCCTCACTGTTCATTTAACCAGAAACTTCTTTCAAATTACATCCTTCTATTTCGGTGCCTTTGTGTTAATCATTTCCCCAGAGAATTGGTGTTTAATTGCTGTCTAATTTACATAATTATGCATATTAATCTACACACCTAATGAATATTCATAATTCTCATTTAGATTTTGTTTTCTAATCAAAAATTTCCAATGTGATTACTGTGCAGAGCAGGGATAAGCCTCTAATAATACCTTGGATACTAGGGAGAATTACTGCCAATTCTCCCACCTCCTACTTCCTAGAATAAACTTTTGCTTTGCTAATGTGTTTTTCTACAGCAATTCATCTGCATATCCTGCAAACACCAATGGAGAGCAGGAGGCAGAAACGTTCCTGCTCTTCACTTTGCTTTCATGGGGATTTTTAAAGCTCCCAATGGTCAGGAGTTGCAGCCTCAGATGTCCTTGGCAAACCTGCCCCTTTGCACTGGAAGGACGAGGGCCATGGCATCGACCAGGCTTGGCTGGAGCCAGTGTCCCCACAAAGTGCTTCAGGAGCCCCAGAGGGGTGGGAGCCATAGCATGGGGGTTTCAATCACTATGCCCATCCCTGCACCATGAGGATGGGCATTCCCGGGTCGTGGATCACCTCCTGCAGCCCCTGGTCCTGTCTCTAACCCACCCCATGGCAAAGGAGCATCCCCAGGTCAGGATGTGCTCGGAGAGGATGCTGAGCGGGGCAGGATGTGGGTGGGCTCCGCAGGGAGTTTGGGTGCAAAATTCCTGGGTGGGAAAAGAAATCAGGGCCCAGGACTCCCCGAGGAAGGAAGGAAGATGAGCTGGTGGGTGGTACAGGAGACAAAAGCTGAGACCAGGAGGCTCCCATGTGTTCTATGCATGGAGAAACACTCAGCACGAGCTGCTCCCAGTGAGCAGCCCAAGGCTCAGCCGCCTCTGAAGGAGCCTTTGCCAGGGCAGGGCTGTGCTGCACTTCAATCCCTGCTGGCCAAAAAGGCCTCACACCTTCACTGAGCTGCAGCCACTGATATGGAAGGTGCCGGCAAACCCATCCCATTTTCAGCCTGCAGTTGTCTGAAGAATCCAGGGATTTTTGGGATGAAACCAGGAAAAAAACAGCCTGCCTGCTTTTGACTTCTGGCAGCTTGTCCTCCATTCAATGCCAACCTGCTCTTCCCTCCTTCGGTATCCAAGGAAGGATCTAAAATTCTGCCAAAATCCTGGCTCTGGCTAAAGCAAAAGCTTCTGGAACCCACCCCCCCCCTTACATTTCCTCTCCCCCAATAATCCATAGGGTTTTGCTCTGCTCACACCATAAAATCACCAAAGATAGTGCCAGCACCAAACGTGGTCACACCAGAGGTGCCCTTGACCCAGCCTGGCACCAAGCAGCTGGGCTTAACCCACATGGAGGAAGAGGAAGGGGCAGGAGATGGGGAAGCCTAGGGTGAGGACATTGCTCAGGCAGCCCCACACCAGCATCCTCAGGGCTCTCTCCAAGCGCTCACCTAAGGGTACCCAAGCATCCTACCTGGACCCTTCTGTCCCAGCAGCTTGGGAGGGAAGGCCAGATACCCAGAGGACACATGGAAGCACCTTGGGACACCTGGTGATGTGTGTCCTGTCCAAGGGCATTGCTGATGTGCTGCTGGGCTCCCCTGGGTGACATGGAAATCCTGCAGGCATCTCCCTCGCCCCCAACTCTGCCTGAGCCCTGGGCATAGATTTTCTATATCAGAGCACACACAGTTCCAGGCCAACAGCTCAGGGAGGGGATCCTGTCCCTCTGCTGTGTGAATGGGAGACCCCCCCTGCAGCCCTGATCCAGCTCTGGGGCAGCAGCACAAGAGGGACCTGGAGCTGTTGGAGAGAGGCCATGGAGATGCTGCGAGGGCTGGAGCAGCTCTGCTCTGGAGCCAGGCTGAGAGAGCTGGGCTGGGGCAGCCTGGAGAAGAGAAGGCTCCTGAAGGGGAGACCTTAGAGCAGCTCCAGTGCCTAAAGGGGCTGCAGGAAACCTGGAGAGGGGCTTGGGACAAGGGCCTGTAGGGACAGGCCAAGGGGAATGGCTTGAACCTGCCCGAGGGGAGACTGAGCTGAGCTCTTAGGCAGAAGCTCTTCCCTGTGAGGGTGCTGAGGAGCTGGCACAGGGTGCCCAGAGAAGCTGTGGCTGCCCCATCCCTGGCAGTGCTCAAGGCCAGGTTGGACACAGGGGCTTGGAGCAAGCTGCTGCAGTGGAAGGGGTTGGAACTGGATGAGCTTTAAGGTCCCTTCCAACACAAACCAGGCTGGGATTCTATGATTCTATTGAACCCAAGCGACCAACAGAGACTGTGCCAGAACTTACATGGCACGGGGCTGAATTCCATTTGCACAAGTGAGCTTAATTCTGATGTACCTTAGCTTCTGAGTGCTTGGCTTTGCACCATGTACCAGGGCTATGAACCGCAGGGTGTGTGCAGTGGGAGCCACCCCTGCGTGCACCCAACTGTCAGGATGTAGCTTCATTTCCAATAGGGCCATTTCCCACCTTACCAAGTTAAGGCTCGTTCCAATTCCAAAAAGACAAAAATAGGAGCTACCTTCTCCCTCCATTAATACAGCTATTAAAAACCATGCATATTAATTGTGTGTTTTAATAACCGTGGTCATGAATATTCATAACACATTTCTTGCGCATGTTCTAATTAAAATACACTAATGGAGTAAGATGTAGCTGTCAGACAGTCATATTTCCCCCCCCTCCTCACGATTTTTGTGCTGCAGCTAAAACGAGCTGAGAGACAAGACCCATCCTAAGCTCTCAGCATGGATAAAAAGCATTTGTCCACATTTACCCTCAGCAAAAAAGCCCTTCACCCGTTATGGAGCCATAGTAAAAGGCTACACACAAATGAGCACCAGGAACCGTTCCCCATCCAGGAGGAGCAAAACCACTTGAAACACCCAATTCTGAAGCCAGAAAAGGCATTAAGGGGGAGGGTGGAGGCGTTTCTGCCCCATCCCCACATCCCAGCCGCCACTTAAAGAGTGCCTGTGGCTCAGTTTGTGCCTTCCAGCCCCCACCTACAGGGTCCCCAGGGTGGAAAGTGCCACAGCAAGAGATGCTGCTCTGCTCCCCATGCCTGGGAAAGCAGCGCTGGTCCTCAAAGCAAAGCCCTGATGTGTTCTATAGCCCTGAACCCCCCTGATTCAAGCCCAGCACTGGGATGTGGCTTCTGGGGGGAGCCTGGCTTTGGTGCCAGCCCCTGCTCTGCCCACCCAGTGATGGCCAAGGAGGACTCCCCAGCACGTGGCCTTTGCATTCAGGCCAAGGGCTTTCAAAGTAAGCTCCATCTCTACTGTTTCTTTTATGACCAAAGCCCCCAAGGTGGGCAGCTCCCCCTCCTCACCTGCAGGATGTGCAGGGATACAGAGCAGGACATTTTGCTCCT